GCATCCGTTGCAACTTTCTGGAGCCACTTGAGGCCCTTGAGCCATTTGACACCCTCAGCAGTGATTTTAGCATCCCACAGACCCAACCTCTCCAGTCGTTTCATATTTCTGAGGTGCTTCATGCCGGAATCAGTCACCCCTGGAGGAAGTGTGAAGCAGGGTTCTCGCTAGGTTTAGGGCCTGTCTGACAAAACCCTCAAAAAAAATTTCCCCGTCTTAGGCTTTGACGACGAAATTTGTGTGGTCTGCAGTAAAAGATGAAATATTTTTCCTAGTCTGATAAACTAGACGAAAAAAAAAACCAAGTCAGCCTACAAGAACACTACCTGCAATTATACTCATTCTATCAAACAACCTAGGCAGTAGCTAAGGACCTAGTCAGACTCACTAGAGCCGTAGTCCTCATTGCTATCACTACTACCATCCTCACTCCCCACGGGAACTGTGGCCCGTTCTTTCCTGGTAAGCCACGGGTACTCAACATCCATCCTTGCTGCTTCTGCTACCAGGGCCGCTTCTCGAGCAGCTGCTTCTGCTGCTGCCAGTGCAGCTGTTGCTGCTGCAGCTGCGGCCGATCTCTACCTCGCACGCTTGCTCTCTCTCTCCCCGGACGCCATCAGCACATCGTTAGCAGGCCTTCGCTTCTTGGAAGCATTCCACCTCCTCAGCAACTCGGGCCACTCCATGTCGTAGTTAAGGAGCGACACAGCCATCAGCTCTCCCAGCTTCGCGTCGCACAGGTTCCCGCGAAGCCAACTCTTGATGATGTTTTGTCGTGAGAAGCCGCGCTCGCACTCGACGGTACTGAGCGGAAGCACGGCGACAGCCATCCACAGGTGGACGAGGTTCGGGTAGCACGTCGCCCAGTCGGGGGAGGACAGCATGAGTTTCAGGCTCTCCGCACACCCGACATCTTCTTGGTGTGTGGCCAGGATGGTAGAGAAGGTGACAAGCTCTCGCTGCGCTCTCGCCCAGTTGATGCCTGCGGTTGGGGTGCACATGGGAACATGGGAACATGTAGTGTTTAGACAAGCATGTGGAGACAACGCTAAACATACAGCTCATTCCCGGCATTTAACGCACCTGGTATAGTGTCAGGGTCATCTGGCTTCCGCTTGAACATGTTGCGCAGAGACTGGAGCCATTGGCCTAGCCGTCGCTCACGCTTTGCCTGGTTCTTGGGATAGAATCTCTGCTTGAACAGCTTCGCCCCGTCGAGGTTTGACAGGTCCTTGAGGCGGTAGTCGAGCCGGCCGACCAGGGTCGTGATGAACTCGCGCGCCAACACCAAACACGCTTGGTGGTCCACACCGCTCGTCTGCCCCTTGATTTTCTCCTCGTACAGTCGGTATCGATGGCTGACCGATGTGCCGTCGGAAGCAGTGCCAGCAACGAGGACCTCGCGGAACTCCCCAGATGCGTGCTTGTCGAGGAACGGGCCCAACGCGTCTCCCCCCTGACCAAACATCGCGTCGTCGCAGTCGAGGTAGCGTGTGCGCAGCAGTAAGGTCGTGTTGTGCACCATCGGCAGCACATGGGTTGCCTCAACCTGTAAACGGGGGTGCACAAGCAGGATGGTTAGTAGGAGATTGTAAATGAAAAAACCGGCCACGTGTAACTCGGGAAACTGCTTACCTGACGCCGCTGAAACTTCAGGCTTAGCAGGTTGAGCTTCTTCAAGACGTCAGAAAGGAAGAACAACAGGAAATGGAACTTATAGCTCGTGACGACGTGATACATCTTCTTGTTTGTTTCGTGCAACACCATGACTGCAGCAGGAAAAACCTTCACCAGGCGCTGGATGGCGTCACCACGTGACAACCACCTGACGTCCTTGATGCCTTGAACTTCAAGCTGGGTCTCGCAAATGACCTCCTGAAGCTCTTGAAACCGGGCGTGGTTAACACAGGAACGACCGAGGTTCTCAGCCACGGCGCGGACCACCTTGTCCACGACGCTGAAGTCAGGATGCTTGGCGGCAGCATCCTTGGCCGCCAAGGCCTCCCTGCAAGACAGCAGATGGTAACATTAGCACGGGTTTTTTTTTTAAAAGTAGGCAGGAAACGCGCAGTAACAACGCCTACCTGTGCGCGATGCAGTGAGACGACACAAGGTGAGGAACCTTGACTTTCAGGCGCGCGGTGACTCCGTTGTGCTGTCCAAGCATGACGGAAGCACCATCAGTGCTCATACCGGTGAGGCGCTGTAGGTCGATGCCGGTACTCTCCAGATGCGTCAGGAGCACTGTGGTGAGTGACGCGGCGTCACACTGCTCCACACTGAGCAAGGCGAAGAACTCCGTCACGGGTGCGTTGTCACGCATGAACGTCAAATAGACGATCATGTGCTTCCCCCGCCGTCGGTCGGTGCTCTCGTCTAGCTGGATGCCAAAGTACGGACTGTCGCGGATGTGCTTCAGCTGGCGGGACTTGAGGTAGCACACCATGGTCTCGACCAGTTGTGCGAAGCCGTACCTGAGACACCACGGGTTGATACTCGTTAGACTCGTAACCAAATAACAATAAAAAGATGAGTAAAACGGGACACTTACTCGCTGTAGTACGTCCCGTTCTCCTTCAGGGGCAAATCCGGTGTCCCCTGCTCTGCCATGAATTGAACCAAAGCCACGAAAAGAACAATGGGAGCATCAGACTTGCAAATGAATAGCACGATAGCCATCAACCGAGCAATACGCTTGACATCAGCGTCCCCACGGTGGAAGTCAGCAATTGACTTCTGCACTTTCTTGACGCCGTCGCGCTCCTCCTTCCTCAAGACCGCGGCCTCGTGTTTCAGACTGTGGTGATGCTTGCGCATCGTCTGCTTCTGGATGTCGATGCCGCCATCGCCGTTACGCCCGTATTTGTAGTTCGGGTCACCGAAGACCATGCAGACGCTGCAGCGCATGCACGGGCGGCCGGCCTTGTTTTCGGAGATGAGGAGCCAAGGAAAATACCGCTGCCACTGCTGCTTGCACTTCATCTGAAGCTCCTCAACCGACAGTTGCTTGCCCTTCGGGTCTTCGAAGTCTTCACTCGCGGGTTCAGGTTCTGGTTCCGCGGGGCGCGGAAGAACTGACGGTGCTGGCTGAGTCGGACCGCCCGGACGGCAGACGGTGAGAACACGCTGTTTATACCGCTTCTTCATAGATCTGTCAGGCAAGACGGGGTTAGCACTACGAGAGGTTGTAGCGACCGACACTGGAGGGATGCTCTTATTTGCACATTCGTCAGGGAGCGGGGGGGATAACAGCGTTGTTGGGGTAGTCGTTGCTGGCACGTGTTGATCGCCATTTTCCGAGTTGGGCAAAGGTACCGCAGCAGAGGTCGACGCAATCGGAGGGGCAGCAGAAGCGATCTGCTTGCCCTGCGTTAGGAAGTCTAGGGCGGAAAGCACGGGCTCCCCATCGCACGGTCCGCCGGCTGTGACGGCCATAGCCTAAACGCTGGGAAGCGTCACGCTGGGAAATCAGACGCTGGGAGGGAAACGATCCATGCTCGGCTGGGAGAGAGGTGAGGACGAGCAGGAGAAACAGGCTTGTTTTCACGCCAGACCCAGCTGCATGAAACCTCATCACCGTGCACTGCACTCAGAACCGAAAGGCGGTGCGTGTTGGGAGCGGGGGGCACTACGACCACAGTGATGTGTTGCGCGCCCTCTACGAAAAGCAAATGCGCTGGCACAACGGGACAGCGCGTTGTCGTGGCTGTGGCTGGCGTCGGCGCCGACAGCCACCCAAACGACAAACACCTGGCAGCATATGCCGCAGATACATGCCAGCGAGGCTGCACAAGGCAGTTACAGAGCTGTATAAGACACGCGTAATGAATGCGTGCAGTTACAAGGCAGCAATCGGCTGCACCTGTGGTGGTCCTGTCCTCTGGTCAACTGGGCCTATGGCCTAGTGGGTCAAGTTGTCGGTTTCAGACGAAACCGAACTCGCTATCTGTATCCTCAGATAAAAAATTCTACACGTCTGAAAAAATCATACGAACTTAAAAGTCAAATCTTGCTCATCAGATGAGAACAAACACAAAATCTTAGGATTAAAATGAATACAAAAAAACCAGTCTTAAACGCAGACCATCAGACCAAATTGGTCTGATAACGAGAACCCTGGTGTGAAGGCCTTCAGTGAGGAGAGAGCAGTCAAGTGCTGCAGCCCATCCTCCCTCACCCCACTGCCATACAGTATGAGACGTTCCAGTGAAGTCAGTTTGCCCACATACACCATGCTGGCAGAGGTGATCGAGACACACTCGCCAAGCAGCAGAGTCGTGAGTGCAGGAAATCCCTGCAGTTTCGCTACTCCTGCATCGGTTATCTTGGTGTTTACCAGATCAAGTGAACGAAGATTCGTCAGGCTGGCAACACCGTCAAGAGCTGCGTCAGCTATGGCTCTACTCTGTAAGTTCAAACCTGTGAGACCAATGAGAGAGAAGAGCTGTGTCACCCCCGCTGCAGTGAAGCCGGAGGAGTTATTGAGGCTGAGCCACGTGAGAGATCGCAAGGTGGCCACTTGTGTAAGAGCAGCATCGGAGAGGTAGACATTGCGGAGGTCCAAGTTAGTCGTGCCTGGAGAAACTTTGCTCCACATTGTCATCAACGCCTGCAGCCACGTGCAGCAACAAGGCCAAACATGGAGAGGGAATGGCATACGCGGCGCCAGAGAGACCGGATTGTACAACGAGGTTCAGGAAAATGAGGTTCGGACAACGAGGTTCGTACAACGAGGTTCGGACAACGAGTAGGACACCCCCGATATGCGAGGTTTACGTCGTATACAATTGGCATGCATTTTGACTCCGGAATATTCCGTCAAACAAATCCCTGCTGGTTTTCCAGGTTGGTAAACAGTAAGAATTGACCATCCTGAAAATTACACTCACCTCCCATATCTTGTTTCCTCCAGCACATGTTTCTTCCAGCGCTTCCACTCGCGTCCTCAGTCCCTGTGTAGTGAGGTTATTTCTGAGGCGCCTAAAAGAAAACCTTGTATTTTAAGGCGCCTCAGAAAGTGCACTCACCTCCCATATCTTGTTTCCTCCAGCGCACGTTTCTTCTAGCGCTTCCACTCGCGTCCTCAGTCCCTGCACCTCATCCTCCTCATTATTTTCCTCCTCATAATTTTCCTCCTCTTCATCATTTTCCTCCTCCAGCTCGTCTCCCTCCCTTTCCGCCGCATCCCCCTTTCCTTCAGGCGCACCACCAAGGGCAATAAGAGGGCGCACAACGGAAGGAGCGTCCGCCATCTCCACCTCCTTCCCCGCCTCCGCGTCGTCCCTCTTCCGCCTCTTTTCCTCGCGCCTCTCCGCCCTCGCATGCTCCCCCGCGCTGCCCTCCTTGCGCTCGTCGCGGTTCTTCTCCGCGCGGCCGTCCTTCAGCGCCGCGAGCGCCAGCTCGACGTCGTTGATGCGCGCATCCGAGTGCGCCGCCGTCGCCTTCACGTACGCCACCTCCGCCGCCTGCCGCTCCGCCGCAACCCTCATCCGCGCAAGTTCCGCCTTCAGCGCGCCCATCTCCCCGCGCATCTCACTCGCCTCTCCCCTCGCCGCTCCCACCTGCGCCTTCAGGTCCTCCACTTCAAACGAAGCTAAACTATTTCCCACCTCCCCCCCCCTCAATCTTTTCCGCCAAAGCGCCCGTCGCCGCCATCCCCTTGAGATGGGCCATGGCGCTTCGCATTTCGGCCATGTCGCGCTTCAAAGCAGCCATGGCGTCGCCTTGCTCCCTCAGCTTCGTTTCCAAAGCCGCCACGCGCTCCCCCACGCCGCCCGCCATCTCTTCCAGTTGCACCTTCAGCACCATGCCGTTCACCAGCCTCAGCTCCATGTCCCGCGGTCGCCATTTTTTTTTTTTTTCACAAGGCTGTCCAGCCTTAGGCTGGAAATCCGTTTGGTTGTACACTGCAAAGCACGCAAGTATAAGCAGAGCAACTTCTAGATTGGAGAAAGGTGAAAAGGGCGAGAGAGAGTTCACTACGCAAAGGAAACGTGAAACTTCTTCAAATGCTTATGGCAGATGTGTGGCGTGTCGTCGATCAAAATTGCTGGGTCTTTGGTTTTGGGCGTGTGCTACTTCGCTTTGTATTTGAGCCAGCAGATATTGAAATGAACGGTTGGATTTTGGGCGGATGCTGTTAGGGTGCCGACGTGCGACCCTCGCTGTGCCCAAGCATATGCGATTCGACAGGTGGCCAGCGTGAACCGCGGGAAGTGAGTGAGCAACCCCACCCCACCAAGCCAAAATGCGGTGGAACTGAACCAAACCATCCCAGCTTGAAATCAACAGTCAAGCTCCGTATTCGCCTTGACTGGCCCTGAAATAAGCATGCAAGCATGCATATTTTGTGCACCTTTTGATAGAAGTATGATGAATACGTACTAAGAGCAAGGGGCAGCTAAATTTCTTGTTTAAGAGCACAATTTGACAAAAGGAGCCATGTTTGGAATGTGCTACTACATTACGAGAACAATTCCGGTTAGGTTAGCGAATGATCACATAGAATGGATAATTCAAATTGTCCCAGACTTCGAGCCAAATCTACATGACCTCTATTATGAAAACCATCTTGCAAAGATGCCTTGATGCTTCCCACTATGTTTCAGTGTCACTTCATATTCCTGTAATTGCCGCAAAAACCCAATGTTGGGCTGCACTATTGGTCGGCACTGCCGCACGTGGGATAGAGCTGTTCGCAGGTCCCACCCCTTGGTCTTCATCATATATGCAATCACTATCGTTGCACTCCGTGACATGCCTGGGCGAAACAACGCAAAGAGGTACATACCGGAACAAGGGAACAAGAAAAGGGTGTATGTTGGGCTGCACTATTAGTCGGCACTACCGCACATGAGATAAGCTGTTCTGAGGTCCCATCCCACCCCTTGGATTTCAATCACCCATAATTCCTGACTCTTGGGAGTTTGTCACCCAACCACTGCCAGTGCTTAGCTACCATACCATGCACTGGCACCCCGACCGGTTTTAGTCGTGTTTTGAGTCGACTCAAAACACGACCCACTGCCAGTGCTTAGCTACCATACCATGCACTGGCACCCCGGCCGCTTTTACCACCTTGTCGATCATGTGAAGCAGCCATGAAAGTGAGCTACGGACAAGATATTAGCCATGTGTTGAGCAAGTACGGGGAGAGAAGGAGCACCCCTTCAGACTCTCCATCACACACCAGGAAACCACCCCCTCACCTGCCAGACAGTGCACCAGCACGCCTCCTGCCTTCCTGCCCTCCTCAATAGCGTCAAAGCACCCCTCAAAGTGAGAGGTCAAGTCAACGTGCATGGCATCATCAGCCATGTGCACGAGCGTGTATGAGAAGGTGTCAGATTGTGCACAAGCGTACAAGAGAGTGCCTCACCACCACGCCTCACCACCACGCCTCACCTGCTAGACAATGCACCACCACGCCTCACCTGCTAGACAATGCACCACCACGCTTCCTGCCTTCCTATGTAGAGTGTTTTTGAGAATTCTAAAAAATACTCTACATCGCCAAGGTGTCAGATTGTGCACAAGCGTACAAGAGAGTGCCTCACCACCACGCCTCACCTGCTAGACAATGCACCAGCACGCCTCCTGCCTTCCTGCCCTCCTCAAGAGCTTCGAAGCACCCCTCGAAATGAGAAGTGAGGTCCACGTGCACCAGCGTGCATGAGAAGGCAACGGTGGATGGTTATCAATCAGCCCTTCCTTACCTGCCAGGCAGTGTTTTGAGACGTGTCAAAACACTTCTTCAAACACGTGTCCACGTGCACCAGCGTGCATGAGAAGGCAACGGTGGATGGTTATCAATCAGCCCTTCCTTACCTGCCAGGCACTGCACCAGCACGCCTCCAGCCTTTCTCCCCTCCTCAAATGGCTTTAAAGCATCCTTCAAAGTGGGCAGTGAGGTCCACGTGGCATCCGCCACGTGCACCAGTGTCTATGAGAAGGTGTTGGGGAACATGAATGGCTGTATCTCACCTGCCACGCAATGTAGCATCCAACCCTCACCTGCTAGACAGTGCACCAGCACGCCTCCAGCCCTCCTGCCCTCTTCAATGGCTTCAAAGCACCCTTCAAAGTGAGTAGTTAGATCCACGTGCATGGCATCCGCCACGTGCACCAGCGTGTATGAGAAGGTGTCGGGGAACGGAGGCGCGCCCGTGTCATTCGCTACAGTCACAACACTCTTGATGCCCAGCTCCAGCAGCGCTTCTCTACGTGCATGTGATTGGGCGAGCCGGAATGAAAAAAAACATGTGGGTAAGGGTGAGAAAGGAAGGATTTCCCTGCCGTTCGCTCAATCACAATGCTTCTTTACCCCAGCTCCAGCATCGCTTCTCTGAATGTGATTGGGTCAGGTAAGATGAGACAAACATGCAGGCATGAGTGAGAAAAAACAGGAACCTGTGCCACTCGCTACAGTCATAATCCCCCTTCATCCCAACGTGCTATAGCAGGTGTGCATACTTACCATTTTACATAACCACCTGTTTGCGGCACCTGGTTACCAGGTAACCCGGTTACCTATTTGAGGCGGAGTTAAGGCTTCCCAGGTATAACCCTTTGTCGATTCTATCCGGCTTTCGGTACATAAACAACGAGGAAGGTGACGCTGTGAAGAGCACAATAAAATGCCCCGTGGTTACTTGGTTACCTGTTTGAGGCAGAGTTGAGGCTTCCCAGGTACAGCCCTTCGTCTATTCTATCCGGCTTTCGGTACATAAACACGGAGGAAGGTGACGCTGTGAACACGACGGCTCGCGGTTGCAGGGGAATCTGGAGCTCCGGCGTTCCCTCCTCTGCTTCTGCCGTCAAGCCTCCCCCAGATAGCACCTCCTTTTGAGTTGGCTCGGAAATGGTTGCGCCTCCCCCCGATAGCACCTCCTTTTGAGTCGCCTCATTAGTGGTTGGGCCTTTCCCCGATTGCACATCCTTTTCAGTTGCCACAGTATTGGTTGCGCCTCCCCCGTGTAGCACCTCGTTTTGAGCTGCCTCAATACTGGTTGCACCTCCCCCGGGTAACACCTCGTTTTGAGCCGAGGCGACGGCAGTTGCGCCTCCCCCGGATAGCACTTCCTGGAGAGTCGACTCTATAGTGGTTGAGCCTTCTCCCGATTGCATGTCGGTTAAAAGGTAACTGAGAATAATTAGTATTCCTCAGCAGGAGGATGCCAGAGCTGCTACAGCCAGTTTTAGAATCTTCTCAGAACTGATTTTGCGCAGCAGACGAATGAACGGTGTTATTGGAGACGATATCTGTCAATTAGTTGTGGATGATGTCAGTAAGACGTTAATCGCCAATCGACGATAGTGAGAGAACGTTTACCGGTGAGCGTAGCGATTTCTCCTAAAGACAGAGGTTAAATCAGTGACGTTACACCAATGAGCTGTCATATGTTACAAGTGGAACTCCGCTCCTGGAAGTCCTATCTGTCAGCCTAGTGGGTCGACAATAATCAAGTAGTAAATTTTATTTCACTCAAATGAGTCGGTTTGAAAGTACTATTTTAGACGGCAGTCGCACGCAATCGTCGAACGTGTCTAGCACGAAGAAAAGCTCGTCGCACACGCGTCGCAAGACTTGTACGACTGCGGTCTGGAAGTCCGCAATTATAAGAAGAATGAAACTGAGGGCTCGCACTTAGTTTCGTTATTCGTGTTTTACTTAGGGGTGGTTGATTGCCACCGCGGCGTTGGAACAGACGTTGGGCGATACAGGGTGCATCACCGCGCCTCAGCTCCTCTGGTACCCTTTAGAGTTAGCGGAACTCGAAACTGTAGCGACGTCATACGGAAACTGAGCAGAAGTCCAGCGAGGTGCTTACCTAAACGTCGATCACAAATGACACATAGCAGAGTTGTTTCAGAGCGATTCGGGTCTGTATGTGACACTTCCAGGGACCAGACGCACATCGGGCATGCAACGAGCAAAACAAACCCCGAGGCTCAAAAATCCAATCACGGCCTGGGAAACGGAACTTCAGGAAATCCCACTCCCTTTATTATTTTCGCCACCCTAGATTTTGCCAGAGCTTTGGAAAACCTTGAGCAGAATTTGTTCACACTATATCGCGTTCATTCAAGAAGCCAGCTCGTACCTTCCAGACAATGCTTGACGTTTAGTCTGGTGGTCATACGAGGCGGCTACCCGCTGACTTCCGAAGATTCAATAGCATCGTAGGATCGTCGTTTGTCCTGTCGTAGCGAGCCTTGACAAAAGGCAATCGCATTTTCTGAACCTGGTGGAACCTTCATAAGTGCACGATTTGTGTAAAGAAACATTCAGTAAATGGCTCAGGATGCGACGAATTCGGACGATGCCGGGGGGATCGAGGTAGCAGACAATGCGTCTGTGCCGGTGGTGGTGGAGAAAACGGGAGAGGGGGTGAAGTTTGAAGAGCATCAGCTTCCCATCGACATCGCGTACAACAAATTCGCAGGTACCGCGTTTCTCGTATGACTGGATATCAATGGCTGTCGCCGAGTCACCGACGGACATTGATTTTACCTCTCAGTGCATATTCGCCCATCCCAGAATCGCAGGTACCGCGTTTCTCGTATGACTAGATAAACGACTGTGACTCCAACTGACATTGACTGACATTAGCATGACTTTTCTCATTGTTTATGCACGCAAATTATCATTTGTCAGTGTACATCCCTTGACTGAATAACCTCTCTCCCCTGTCCCACACCAGACTGGCTGGTGGATAGGAAGCGGGTACCAGCCAATTGGAGGCAACGAGTAGCAGCCATTCAGCAGCGAATCACGAAACTGGTTACCACATTACCACGTCACCATGATCCCTGGCTGCAGTCGCTCTCCGTGGATGGTGGGTACATGGGTGCATGCATGAATGTATGGATCATGCATGGGGCATCCATGGGTGCCTGAATGCATGTGTGCATGGGATATCGATTGGTCCATGGGTGCATGCATGGTGCATGCATGGGCCTGCTCGAATCGAGAATCACATGACAATAGAGGAAGAAGCACTCTTGACTTTTGAGTCGACTCAAAAGTCAGCTCAGTGGTGCATCGGCCTGCTTGAATCGAGAATCACATGATAATAGAGGAAGAAGCACTCTTGACTTTTGAGCCGACTCAAGAGTCAGCTCAGTGGTGCATGGGCCTGCTTGAATCGAGAATCACATGACAGTAGAGGAAGAAGCACTCTTGACTTTTGAGCCGACTCAAGAGTCAGCTCAGTGGTGCATGGGCCTGCTTGAATCGAGAATCACATGACAGTAGAGGAAGAAGCACTCTTGACTTTTGAGCCGACTCAAGAGTCAGCTCAGTGGTGCATGGGCCTGCTTGAATCGAGAATCACATGACAGTAGAGGAAGAAGCACTCTTGACTTTTGAGTCGACTCAAAAGTCAGCTCAGTGGTGCATGGGCCTGCTTGAATCGAGAATCACATGATAATAGAGGAAGAAGCACTCTTGCAGCTGTCTGTTAAGTTGTAAGGCGACACAGAATGATCATACCTTGCATTTAATGTATTCATAATAATAATAATAATAATAAAAACTCTTAAAGTTGCTCTTTCTTCCCTTATTTCGGTTTGCAGACGTGGGGTACGTAGAGGCGAAACGAGTGAGGGACATTCTTGCTGCTGCTCGCCCCAGCGAGAGAACAATTTTCGGCGGCCTTGCTGGGCCTGCGGTGAGTAAGGGATGTGTTGTGCATGTGGGATACGTGGAAGCGAGGTGGGGTTGGAAGCGACGTGAGGTACGTGGAGGCAAAGTGAGTGAGGGACATTCTTGCTGCTGCTCGCCCCTCCGAAAGAACAATTTTTGGCGGCCTTGCTGGGCCTGTGATGAGTAAGGGATGAGTTGTGCATGTGGGGTATGTGGAAGCGAGGTGGGGTATGTGGAAGCGAGGTGGGGTACGTGGAAGCGAGGTGGGGTATGTGGAAGCGAGGTGGGGTATGTGGAAGCGAGGTGGGGTATGTGGAAGCGAGGTGGGGTACGTGGAGGCGAAGCGAGTGAGGGACATTCTTGCTGCTGCTCGCCCCACCGAAAGAACAATCTTCGGCGGCCTTGCTGGGCCTGCGGTGAGTGCTCCGAAACACACGTGTTAGATGTGCTGAGGCTGTGTTTGGGACATGTTAAGGATGTGCTGAGGATCGCTCCTTAACAATTCAGGGAGTGAACGTGAGACGTGTGAGTGACGGAAGGATGTGTCAGGGAAGTGTCAAGAATCTGGCCGTATGGTGCTGCAGTGATCTGAATCAATCAGTGTGGTGTTATACTTTCATCATGCATGCGCGCTTCAGGCGATTATAGAGCTGCGTTTCCATCTCTCATCCTTGTGGCCCCACGACCTCTCATTCTTGCATACCTTGCTTGCATTGCATGCACCAGGGCGAATGGGATATAGTGGTTTGCACATACGAGCGTGCGTCTGAGGCGATTAACGAATGGAATCCACACCTCCCATCCTTGTGGCCACGCTACCTCTCATCCCTTGCTTGCATGCTTGCACCAGGGCGAGTGGGATGCAGTTGTGCGAACTTATGAGCGTGCCTCCGTCTTTCTGGGCGAAGCAGCTCAAATCTGATTCTGAACAGATTCTGAAGCTCAGTCCTCGCTATCGTATGTCCCTGTGGCATGTTCTCTCTGTCTCTCAACCTTGCTTGCTTGCACCAGGGCGAGTGGGACGCAGTTGTGCGAACATACGAGCGTGACTCTGTCTTTCTGGGCGAAGCAGCTCAAATCCTCGTGCACAACACCAATTACGACATGTGAGAGTGGGGTCACTCCGATGGGGGAGGAGAACAGGGGAAGGGGTTTCCAGGGGAGTGGTGAACAGGTTATGTCTTGGGGAAGCAGCTCAAATTCTCGTGCACAACACTAATTATGACATGTGAGAAGGGGCCCCCTTTGAAGGGAGAGGAGAGCAGAGGGTCGTTTTGAGGGCGGAGGAACGGAGGGGGTTATTTAGGGGCGAGAGGAGAACAGGTTATACCTCACTCTCTACTTGCATGCTGTCTCCATCCCTTCATTCCTGCTCCCTCCCGCTCCCTTCTCCATTCGAGGCGCCTAAAAAGTCGTCTCTCTACCCGCATTTTTTCTAGGAGCCTCAAAAGCCATTGAGGGGCGAGAGGAGAACAGGTTATACCTTGTTCGATTCGGCCCCTCAGAGTGATACCTCACTCTCTTCTTGCATGCTGTCTCCATCCCTTCATTCCTGCTCCCGTTCCCTTCCCCCTTTCTCTGGTTATTGCACATGCTTCCCTTGTTGACTGCCTCCTTTCTAACCCTCCCTCCTCTCCTCTCCGCATTGACTCCCTCTTTCCCGTTCTCCCCTGTTTATTTCCCTTCGTCATGCAGTCCCTCATTGATTTTCCCCTTTCCCTACTGCCGCACCAATTTCCCCCCCGTTCTCTACTCCAACATTTTGTTCAATTCACTCCCCTATCAACAGCCCCTACTGGCAGAAGCACAGGGCGCGGGCGCAGCAGCAGCTGGAGGAGAGCAACCGGAAGGAGCTAGACTGATTCAAAGTGGCTGCTGCTGCTGCTCTTTAGTCGCCTTACAAGTCACCCTGTTGCCTCCCTCCTCCCCTCTCAACAGCCCCTACTGGCAGAAGCACAGGGTGCGGGCGCAGCAGCAGCTGGAGGAGAGCAACAGGAAGGAGCTAGACTGCCGCAGACTGGCTGCTGCTGCTGCCAAGGGGTTTCAGCAGGCGTGCTCTGACCTGGGAATCAAGGTAAGGTGTTTTACATGTCCTGTCACTCTTTACCTGCTGCTGCTCTTCTTGCCGCTGCTGCTGCTGCTGCTTTGAGATATGCTGAAATTTCCCATCTCGCATGTTTTGAGACATTGGAAACACGTTCGGGACTCCTGCACTCGGTGGTGGGCGTTGTATTGTATGTGGGGAGCCTGTGGGGCAGGCGTGCTCTGAGTCTGTGGGGCAGGCGTGCAAGGGGTTTCACCAGGCGTGCTCTGACCTCGGACCACTACCTTCCGAGCTGCCGTGGGCCACTGTGCTTCACCCGTCACTGTCTCGTCAACACACCTCCTCCCCCACCCCTCCCTCTCTCTGCTTCTCCCATGTGTGGTAACCCTGCTCTCTGCCAGGGTCAAGACGTGCGAAACGAACTTAAAGGGCTAGTCTCGCAGCTTCCAGGAATTTTCCAGGGGGTGGTAACAATTCTTTCAGGGGAGCCTGTAGGTCAAGCAGTGGACTACTATCGAGCTGCCGTTGCCTTTGCCCATGGGGGGAAGAATGCGGGTTCCCCGCTCCTCCCCACGCTCTTGGAGCTTCGGGCAAACCCTGAGCGGCAGGACCGGGCCGAACCTCCTGTGGAGGACGAGTGGGGTGGTGGTGTCGGTGGGGGTGCCGATGGGGGTGGTGATGGTGGTGGTGGTGGTGATGCTGCAGGGGGGATTGTGTGGGATCTGGATGTGAGTACAGGGGGAGAGGGAGGAGGGGGAGGCGAAGGTGGAGGGGAAGGTGAGAGTGGTGGCATTGTCTGGGACCTTGATATTTCTGCTGGTGATGATGGTGCTGACGGTGCTGATGGTGCTGTTAATGGTGCAGCTGGTGCGGTTGATGGTGCTGCTGGTACCGATGGTGCTACTGCTTCTGCTGATGGTGCTGATGGTACCACTGCTACTGCGGATGGTGAAGCAGCAGTGGAGATAGATTGGAGTGCCCTGGGGGGAGGGGAGGGTGCATCTGGGGGAGGCATTGACTGGGGCATCGAGATCTCTGCTGATACAGGTGCTACTGGTGGTGAGGAGGGAGGAGGAGGAGGGATTGACTGGGATATTGACACGGGAGCTGCAGGGACCAATGAGGAGGCGCCATCTGGAAGTGCTGGTGATGGCGATAGTGCTGGTGGTGGTGGGGGAGGAGGAGGGAGGAGCGGGAGGGAGGGTGAGAGTGAGAGGCAGAAGGTGCAGCGGTGGCTGCTGGCAGATTCAGCGTATCGGAGTAAGCTACTTGACGACCTGTTTGAGGTGAGAGGGGTGGCTGGCTGAGAGCAGCTTCGAAATTGGGATGTTGTGTGCAGCATATCGGAATTAGTTTCTAGAGGCGAGCAGTGGTTTGGAGGTTTTTAGATTGAATGGTATGTATGCACCTCCAAGCAAGCACAAAACTGAACTAAACGAGCTGTTGAGGTGACACCAGGGCTGCCTGCAAATGCTTCCCCCTCTCCTCCCGTTCCCTTCTCTTCTCTCTTGCATGCCTTCGCTCCTGCTCCCTCAGCTGCACATGTTCCTCGTCACGCGGATAGCTGAGATGAACCGACACCAGGGATCTGTGCTGCAGGCACAACTGATGGTGAGTGGAGAAGGATCGTGTCGCGAGGGGGGCGTGTGAGGCTGGCCAGTGGGGGAGGATGGGATCATGGTAGGGCCTTGAATTTGCTGTGGTTTTTTAGTTTGGCCGGTGGGGGACGATGGGATGGGAGGGCCGTGTATGCTGGGGGTTTTGCAGGCACAGCTGCTGGTGAGTGGATGAGGGGTCATGAGCAGGGAGATTCTGGTGAGTGAGGAAGGATGGGAGGGCCTTGAGTCTGCTGTGGGTGTTACAGGCACATGTGCTGGTGAGTGAGTGTTACGGAGCATCCCCATCATTCGCGCTGCCGTTTCCCTCATCTCCCTCTACTTTTTCTGTCTGCACGACCATTTCTTCTTACCTTCCCCTCAACCCCCCGTTCCTCCGGCGACTCACCCTTTTCCCTCTCCCTTTCTCTCCCGCCTGTATCCCACAGGCCACAGCGCCTCCCATCATCCAGAACCACGGCACCGCGTCCCTTGCGTCCCTTGATTCCCACATCTGCACGGCCATTGGTCGACTCACCAGCCGTCGCACGCGGGACCTACTCCTCATCCTCTCCTCCCCTCGGTAAGTGCTCCTGTATTCTCTCCTGGAAGGGCCCAGCTCCTCTTCCTCACCGCCGCTTCACTCACCGCCCTTGACTCGCACATCTGCACGGCAATCGGTCGACTCACCAGCCGTCGCACGCGGGACCTGCTCCTCATCCTCTCCTCCCCACGGTACGTTTTTTCCACTCTTCTCTGCGTACAGTAGCGACGTGTATGAAGAAGTGTTTTGAGATGTCTCAAAGCGTTCTTTCCACTCTTCTCTGCGCACAGTAGCGATCACCCTTCCTCTACACCCCTGCTGACTTTTGAGTTGACTCAGAAGACCACTCTTCTCTGCGTACAGTAGCGACCACCCTTCCTCCACACCCCTGCTCTCCCTCAACAACCCTTTCCCTCCTACATGTGTTCGGCCACGTGATAAAAAAGTTGTTTTGACACGTCTCAAAACCACCCTTCCTCTACATCCCTGCTCTCCCTCCACAGCCCCTTCCCTCCTACAAGTGTTCGGCCATTTGTTGACTCACCAGCCACCAAAACAGCTTTTTTTTCTGCTTCCGCTTCTCCTCTTTTGTCTGTCTCCTTTTCTCCTTTGGCCTTCCAGCTTCTTGGATCGGCTGGAGCAATCATTGCTGCAGAAGAAGACAAATGAGGCGAGGCTGCTGGATAGCATAGGCGAGCTGGAGAGGCGGCGGAGAGAGATCCGGGCGGCGCTGGCTGATGCGTGGCCTAAACTGGTGAGTTGCATGGCATGGCATGGCATGGCATGGCATGGCATGGCATGGCATGGCATGGCACGGGATGATGTGCCATGGTGTGGCTTGGTGTGGCATGGTGATGCATGGTGTGTGGCATGGAATGGTGTGACATGCGGTGGCATGGTGTGGCATGATTGTCACAACCCTTCACACAAAAATTGTGCACTCACACCCCCTCGGTGGTGCAATGAACACGGGCCTACAAGGAAGCAATTTTTGAGGCGCCTCAAAAAAACACACCCCCTCGGTGGTGCAATGAACACAGGCCTACAAGGAAGCAAGTGCTTCCTCAGTGAGCATACAACCACACACTCCCATTCCCTCTCCTTCCCTCCCTTCATCACCCCCAGGAGGCTGTGGTGCAGCGAACACGAGCCTACAAGGCAGCCGGTGGTTTCTCTGAAGCCATACATCCACACACTCACCCACTCTCCTTCCCTCCCTTCACCCCTCCCACATGAAGCCTACGAGGCAGCATGTGGCTTCTCTGAAAACATACATCCACGCACTCACCCGCTCTCCCTCCCTCTCCCCCCCCCCCCCCTAGGAGGCTGTGGTGCAAAGAACACGAGCCTACAAGACAGCAGCAGAGGCGGCGCTCTCTGCAATGTATTCAAACCGCCCCGTTCACATCATTGGGGAGATTAATAACGTGCTGCAGGCCACTGCCCCTGCTGGGGGTGGGTAGAGAGAGTATGGCTGAGATGAGCTAAATCTGAGATTAAGCATGCGCGCTATTCCCCAGATGGTGTGTGCAGTGCAGTGCAGTGCAGTTCATACTGTTTGAGAGATTGATTGATACTCGTGTCATGCGATGTGAGGAATACCGTAGCTAACACCACTGCTGTCATGGGGCAACAAACGGTAATTATTTCCGACATTCCACCAGTTACTGCGACGATGTTGCACTTCTACCACCGGTAGCTGTCAGACAGATACCGTACATGCAAGGCAGACATACAGGTTTCTTTATAAAGGAGAAGTGAAGTGGCAATGGGAAGGCAGAGGCAAGGCATTGCTGGTCGTGTGGAGAACTGCCTATGCAAGGTAGCTTTGGGAAGGCTCACAAGCATACCATACACAAAAGTTACAAAGATCATAAAATACAATGTGTGCTTACAAGTGTACAGCTGCGTAGTGGCATGTATGCAGTGGAGAGTGATCAAACACCACGGAGCAATTCGAATAAATCCCAGCAAACTTCGCAAAGGTGCTGAGAGTGTGCGTACCCCCTACAAGCACTGCTCCTCGACTCAACAAGAAGAAATCCGCTACAGTAGCCAACTTCGAACCTGTATCCTTAGAAGTTGATAAATGTGCAGTTTGGCCCATCGAAGCGAAAACGTTTCCGAATGGCCGTAGCAGCTCCACAAAATGCGGGCGTAGATACTCATTATCCGTGGATAAGAAAATATTTAGAGCAGAGAGTCGGGGAATGCGGAACATAGATGTTTGCCTTGGGGACCGACCAGGGACTGGCACCAAACCTGCAAGCAACAAGTGGATGAAGAAATGTTGATGAAGGTTGAGTTGAGAATAAGTTGAAAGGCAAAGAACTGGCGAAAGTGAAGGACAGGATACGTGTGAGAGGTGTGGACGACAGGAAGTGTCCAGCACGTGGAAGGCTTTTGAGACGTCTCAAAAGGGACGACTTTCGAGGCGTCTCAGAAGGAGACGACTTTTGAGACGTCTGAGAAGGACAGGATACATGTGAGAGGTCTGGACGACAGGAAGTGTCCAGCACGTGGAAGGTGAAAGAAGTGAGTTGTCAGCGATTCTGACAGGTGCTTATGAGAATTCTCAAGGTGCTTATGAGAATTCTCAGGGTGCTTATGAGAATTCTCAGGGTGCCTATGAGAATTCTCAGGGTGCCTAAGAGAATTCTCAGGGTGCCTATGAGAATTCTCAGGGTGCCTATGAGAATTCTCAGGGTGCCTATGAGAATTCTCAGGGTGCCTATGAGAATTCTCAGGGTGCCTATGAGAATTCTCAGGGTGCCTATGAGAATTCTCAGGGTGCCTATGAGAATTCTCAGGGTGCCTATGAGAATCCTCAGGGTGCCTATGAGAATCCTCAGGGTGCCTATGAGAATTCTCAGGGTGCCTATGAGAATTCTCAGGGTGCCTATGAGAATTCTCAGGGTGCCTATGAGAATCCTCAGGGTGCCCATGAGAATTCTCAGGGTGCCTATGAGAATTCTCAGGGTGCCTATGAGAATTCTCAGGGTGCCTATGAGAATTCTCAGGGTGCCTATGAGAATCCTCAGGGTGCCTATGAGAATCCTCAGGGTGCCTATGAGAATTCTCAGGGTGCCTATGAGAATTCTCAGGGTGCCTATGAGAATTCTCAGGGTGCCTATGAGAATCCTCAGGGTGCCCATGAGAATTCTCAGGGTGCCTAAGAGAATTCTCAGGGTGCCTATGAGAATTCTCAGGGTGCCTATGAGAATTCTCAAATACACCCTGTGTGGATGATAGGAAGCATACAGCATGCAGAAAGAAGTGAGAACCCATGTGGGCGCTAGTGAGACCCCATGTGGGCGCTAGTGAGACCCCATGTGGGCGCTAGTGAGACCCCATGTGGGCGCTAGTGAGACCCCATGTGGGCGCTAGTGAGACCCCATGTGGGCGCTAGTGAGACCCCATGTGGGCGCTAGTGAGACCCCATGTGGGCGCTAGTGAGACCCCATGTGGGCGCTAGTGAGACCCCATGTGGGCGCTAGTGAGACCCCATGTGGGCGCTAGTGAGACCCCATGTGGGCGCTAGTGAGACCCCATGTGGGCGCTAGTGAGACCCCATGTGGGCGCTAGTGAGACCCCATGTGGGCGCTAGTGAGACCCCATGTGGGCGCTAATGAGACCCCATGTGGGCGCTAGTGAGACCCCATGTGGGCGCTAGTGAGACCCCATGTGGGCGCTAGTGAGACCCCATGTGGGCGCTAGTGAGACCCCATGTGGGCGCTAGTGAGACCCCATGTGGGCGCTAGTGAGACCCCATGTGGGCGCTAGTGAGACCCCATGTGGGCGCTAGTGAGACCCCATGTGGGCGCTAATGAGACCCCATGTGGGCGCTAGTGAGACCCCATGTGGGCGCTAGTGAGACCCCATGTGGGCGCTAGTGAGACCCCATGTGGGCGCTAGTGAGACCCCATGTGGGCGGTAGTGAGACCCCAGGTCTACCTCATGTGGGCGCCAAAAAAAGGCGACTTCTACTCATGAGTGTTCAGTTTGAGGTGTATACGACACATACACTCATGCCACACTGGCTCTTACAGTACACATCATCATCATCATCATCATCATCATCATCATCATCATCATCATCATCATCATCATCATCATCATCATCATCATCATCATCATCATCATCATCATCATCATCATCATCATCATCATCATCATCATCATCATCATCATCATCATCATCATCATCATCATCATCATCATCCTTCTTTTCATCACCACAAGCGCTCTTATACATACCATGTGCCATGGCTAGCGAGTCTTCAAGACTCCAGCTCTCCTCTGCTTTTGAGTCGAATCAAAAGCATGGCCATTCTCTTCATCACCATAAGCGCTCTTATAGGTACCGTGTGCCATGGCTAGCGAGTCCCCTAGACTCCAGCTCTCCTCTGCTTTCGAGTCGACTCTAAAGCATGGCCATTCTCTTCATCACCACAAGCTCGTATACGTACCATGTGCCATGGCCAGCGAGTCGTCAAGACTCCAGCTCTCCTCTGCTCCTGTTCTGTTTCTCCTCATAACCTGCAAGGCGGGAGGAGCATCAGAAGAGAAACTGTTCAGACATCCTCTCCTTTCTCTCGCATGCGGACTCTTTTTTCTCGTGCAATCCCTTCTCTCTGAGCTCCTCGCTTCCTCTCCTCTCCTCTCCTCTCCTCTCCTCTCCTCTCCTCCCTCTCATCTCCTCTCCTCTCCTCTCCTCTCCTCTCCTCTCCTCTCATCTCCTCTCCTCTCATCTCCTCTCCTCTCCTCTCCTCTCCTCTCCTCTCCTCTCATATCTTCTCATCTCCTCTCACCTGCTTCACCACTCGTGTGCCGAGTGACAGTGAAGCCTCAGTCTTTGCCACCCACTCTCATTTCCCCGCCACTACAGCATTTCCCTCCTCTCATCTCCTCTCTGCCCCTTTGCCCTCCTCTCCCGTCCTCTTCCCTCCTCTTCTCCCCTCTCACCTGCTTCGCCACCCGTGTGCCAAGTGACAGTGAAGCCTCAGTCTTTGCCACCCACTCCTCACTAGCTGCCAATAAAGCCCACCGCCTGTCCACCTTCTTCGCCACCCGCTCATCTTCCACACCCATGCTTGCCGCTCGCATGTCTGCCGCCCGCAACTCTGCCGCCCATTTGCGGAAGCGGAACAGCTGGAGCAGGGAGGAGAGGCAGAGCCAATGGGACGCCTGCAGGAAGAGGGATGCCACGTCATGTGCCACGTGGCTGCGCTGTAGCAGGCAGGCAGCATCAGAATCTCCGCAATGGGGCAGCCCAAAGCTCCTGCGTGCAGTAAGGAAGGAGAGAGGAGAGGGAAGGGGAGTTGGGGAATGAGGTTGGGGAAGGTGGTGGGGAAAGGTGGTGCATTTGGAATGTGCCACGTGGCAGCGCTACAGCAGGGAGGCAGCCTCTCCGCAATAAGGCAGCCCAAAGCTCCTGCAAGCGGTTAGAAGAAGGGAGTAGGGGGAAGGTGAGTTGGGGAAGGTGGTGTGCGTTGGGGGCAGCATCGGAATCCCCGCAATGGGGTGGGCCAAAGCTCCTGCATTCAATGAGGAGAGAGGAGTAGGGGGAAGGGGAGTCGGGGAAAGGTGGTGGGGGAAGGTCAGTGCGGGAAGGTGGTGGGGGAAGGTTGGTGCAGATAGGTGGTGGGGGACGGGTGGTACATTCAGAATGTGCCGTGTGGCTGCCCTGCAGCAAGCAGGCAGCATCGACCTCTCCACAATGGGGCAGCCCAAAGCTCCTGCAAGCGGCCAGAGGAAGGTGGTAGGGGAAAGGTCATGGGGGGAAGAAGATGGTTGGAGGAAGGTCATGGGGGGAAGGTGGGGAAAGGTCATGGGGGGAAGGTGGGGAGAGGTCATGGGGGGAAGGTGGGGAAAGGTCATGGGGGGAAGGTGGGGAAAGGTCATGGGGGGAAGGTGGGGAAAGGTCATGGGGGGAAGGTGGAAAGGTCATGGGGGGAAGGTGGAAAGGTCATGGGGGGAAGGTTGTCGGAGAAACAGCTCTGCTAGTCATCTGCCTGCATTCTGATTCTCTTCTTCTTCTCAGTTCCTTCTGCTGCCTCAGCCACTCTCTAATGAAAGAGTCAGAACTCCCACCTCAAGGGTCCTCTCTGCGTGGTGTGCCACCTGGCTGTGAGTTAAGGCAACAACTCTCCACTATGTGAAAGGATAACAAACGGAAAGCATCAGGGATGTGTGAGAGAGTGACTTTACCTGGCCTGGGCTCGAACCGTGCATTTCTCAATGTGCGGCTCGAGCCTGGGTTGGTTCAATCACATTGGTCGCGTGGATTTCTCCCTTGGTGCTCTCCTACCAACCTCGCGTCAACTTCCCTGGTTCCCCAACTACCTACCCTCGAATATTCATACTCAACATTGCTACACCAGAACTACACCAGAACTACACCTCAACATAACTGGCACCTTATATGCACAACCGTGCGTATTCGGTGACAAGGTGGGGAAAGGTCATGGGGGGAAGGTGGGGAAAGGTCATGGGGGGAAGGTGGGGAAAGGTCATGGGGGGAAGGTGGGGAAAGGTCATGGGGGGAAGGTGGGGAAAGGTCATGGGGGGAAGGTGGGGAAAGGTCATGGGGGAAAGGTGGAAAGGTCATGGGGGGAAGGTGGGGAAAGGTCATGGGGGAAAGGTGGAAAGGTCATGGGGGGAAGGTGGGGAAAGGTCATGGGGGGAAGGTGGGGAAAGGTCATGGGGGGAAGGTGGGGAAAGGTCATGGGGGGAAGGTGGGGAAAGGTCATGGGGGAAAGGTGGAAAGGTCATGGGGGGAAGGTGGGGAAAGGTCATGGGGGAAAGGTGGAAAGGTCATGGGGGGAAGGTGGGGAAAGGTCATGGGGGGAAGGTGGGGAAAGGTCATGGGGGGAAGGTGGGGAAAGGTCATGGGGGGAAGGTGGGGAAAGGTCATGGGGGGAAGGTGGGGAAAGGTCATGGGGGGAAGGTGGGGAAAGGTCATGGGGGGAAGGTGGGGAGAGGTCATGGGGGGAAGGTGGGGAAAGGTCATGGGGGGAAGGTGGGGAAAGGTCATGGGGGGAGGAATCTCCATGCGCCTTACAAATCGCCTCATGACTCGCAAGGGGCATTTCTTTTGAGACGTCTCAAAAGGGGAAGGCGGGGAACGGTCATGGGGGAGGGAGCTCAACTCGTCTTAGAAATCGCTTCATGACTTGCAGGGGGCATTCCGAAGCTCCTGCAAGTGGTTGGGGGGGAGGAGCTGGGGGAAGCGATTTGGGGAAGGGTGTCAGGGAAGGGGGACGGGGGGAAGGTGGTTCGGGGGAAGGTGGCCCAGGAAAAGTGGTTCGGGAAGGTGGTGGGGGGGAAGGTGGTCGGGTGAAGGGAGGTTGGGGAAGTGGTTGGGGGAAATGGTTGGGGGAAGGTGGTTAGGGAAGGGGAAGGAGGAAAGGGGAAGGGGCTGGGGGGGGGGGAATGCGGGGTTGGGGGAGGAAAAGGGGGGGAAGGGAGGAGTTGTGTGAGGGCTGCTGTGACGGACTCACCAGTCCCCTGTTCGGATGTGCAGCGAAACATCGAATTGCAGGCGAAGCCCAGTCCCTTTCGCCAACGGGTTACCACCACCACCCCCTTCTCGCCCCTCCCCTCCTTTCCCTGCTCGTAACGTCCCTCCGCTCAGCCTTCGAGCAAACTGTACTCCCCCACTCCCCGCATCCCCCGCTTCTCCCTCGTCCCCCGCAGCCTCCGCTCGAACTGTGCTCCGCAAATTTCCACTAACAAGCATCCCGTTTTCAACGCGTCGCAACCCCCCTGTTTCCAGTTTATCCAACCCTTTTCCCCGCGCAACTTCTACTTCGTTATGTACTTTTCCGCTAAAAGCCGAAGCAGACTTCACGTGCGGAAATATTCTCACGTCCTTATCAATTTCGTAACCTAACGCTTTTGTCGGTCCGCCTCCTAATAAAATCTCCATCGTTCTTGACCAAATGCACCAGTCCGAAGCGCACCCTAACGCGCCCATCACGCACCGCGTTAACTCCTTATCCTCCTTCCAATACCTATCAAACCCGCTCGACATCGTGACTATAACGAGCGGGTCCGGATCCGCGAGCGATCTCCGCATCTGCTCTCCGTTCGATACCAGCCGATCCAACGGCTCCGCGTAACTAGGCAGATTATTATTCAAAAACCTAATCTCGTCGAAACCGCAGACGAACCCCGCGCAGAGGCTGTTCATCGCGTCGCCGTACTGCCCGCCGTGCCAGCGCAGAAGGCGGCGGCCAGAGAGGAGCGCGTAGACGAAGGAGGAGGAGAGCGCGCGGAGCATGTTACCTAGCCCGGCTCGAGGCACCCAGATCAACCAGCGATCCGCGGAATCGGTGCGACCGATGCGACCGGCGGAATTCTTGGCGGAATCGGTGGGATTTGTGAGATTGGTGCGATAATTGGTGCGAGAAGCGGAATACGAGCGGTAGGAGGAGGGAAGGGAGGAGGACAGGTAGGGGGCAGGGGGTGCACGACGTTGCTGTTCCCCCTCCGAGCGGCTCTCCTGTTGCTGTTCCCCACCCGAGCGATTCTCTCCTACTTGATTCGAGCTTTTCTCTCGTTCCCGATCCAAACTATCCTCTCGCTGCTGGTCCTGCAGCCATCGCCGGTGCACGTGGAGCAGCTCGTCGGAAAGAACGGGCCGGCCGCGCGAAACCCGCGAGGAGTAGGCTTGAGGCGGAAGGAGCGCGCGGCAGGAGGGGGTGTCCTGCGGAAGGTGGTTGGGGAAGGGGAAAGTGAATATGGGGAAGGGGGAAGGGAAGAGAAATGGTGAGGGAAGCGGAAGAATGATGGCGTGAAGTGGAAGAGTGGCATGGGACCATCGTTGATTTCTGAGTCGATTTAACAAACGATCACTCTTGTTGGCAGGCAGCGTGTCCTTAATGAGCGAGCCTGGCAAGCTAATACCGAAGCTGGCTCTGACTCTTCGGCGCTAAGGCAGGTCCTGAATTGTTGGCGCGAAGGCTGCTAGCGCGAATTCCACACCTCAAGGCTGATGTTATGGTGCTTGACGTTCGCGCTTCGCCACGTGGACTTGACCAGGGTGTCCGGCCACGTCACGCGGTGGTTCTGATTGGTCCGCCCGCCTACCAGGAACTCCCAATTGGCGCGCTCTTCAACGAAGCGCATCGACACGCCCTTGACGTACACGCGCGATATCCAGTCGCGGTTTATAGCCGCCAGATGACGACGGCGATGCGGGGAAACGGGGGGGAAGCTTCTTAAGTGGAACGGGGCTGATGCCGCCGCGTGAGTGTGAACGAGGAGGATGCTGGAAAGAATTGTTACCACGAGTATTAGTGGGCAAAAAAGGTAGGAGCTTTTTGAAGGCCCTGTTACAACGCGACGTCGAAGTGGCATCGACGGTAGCAAGACTCCGCGTTGAGGTTTCGAACGTAGATTAATAGGCCCTGCTCTGCGAGCTGCGTCGTGACAGTGATGAACACTATTTCCCTCTGCGTCGGAGCTGCTTGTATTGGAGATACGCATGGTGTCGGTCCTGCGATGATGACTTCCACGTGTCAGCTTCTACCTCCGCTTCCGCTGCGCCTTAGGTGCTTGTTCGGATGAAGGCGTATGGATCGAAAAAAACGACTTCGTGCTTCTTGCTCGTGGGAGACCGAGGTGAGTCGCGAATATGAAGGTTGTTTGTGTGGTTCTGCTGTGCCTCCCTGTCCCACTCGGGCGCCTCATCGTCCTGTCGCGACGATGTTTCGTTTGATACATGCTGGAGAAAGAGAGGAGCATTTCATCAGCGGATGATGTGTGAAGGTGTTAGGGTGCGTCATAAAGCACACGATTTCGCGGTTTTGTGAGTTAATAGACGCTTGAAACGGATAAAAGCTGGTTAGGAAGGGTTTGAGCGAAAGTGAATGCCTGACACCGAGTACCAGCACTAGGCGGCTGCATTATTTTTTAATTGAAACGACGCGCGGATTTGATGCTGAGCTTGGCTGCTGTGCTGTCTGCCTCCTGCTCCAGTGCGGTTGGTAGGGATTGCGCGGGAAAAAACATTTGCGAAGCTCACTGACGCGCCGCCAGAGGGGAGGGTGGTACACGTTGACGAAATACGCGATCAACCCGTCTTCGTTCGCAAGTGTGCGGCAGTCTGAAAGCATCATCTGCGCACATACCTGCCCCGCGTAAGTTTGAAATGTATTTAACAACATAAAGCACTTCAGAAGTGTACCTCTTATTCATATACGTTCTGTTGTCATAATACCACCTCGTTTCGGACCTTGAACTTCCCGTTGGACCAAACCAAACGGAACAGCCACTAACTTGCTCCTTTCTAATTTATTAGAAGCAGCTTGACTGTCTCTGGTCCGTGGACCACGTCAGCTGGGTCGCCGTAGTTGCCTATTCGCCAGTCTTAGCTGATCAAGCGCGTGCAACCCGAGGCGCCAGCCAGCATGGGTGCCGCCTTATCGTCGATGCTGGCGGCTCCCGAGTCGCTTTTGACCTTCGCAGTCGTCGCAGCCGTCGCGTGGGTTGTCGTCAAAATTCTCCTGCAGCCTAAAGTCCCGCGAATTTCCGTCGACACTTCGTACAGTAAGCGATCATCGCGTTCTCGAGTCTTGCGCTAGTTAAACCTTTATGTCCCTTAAAGCGCTTTACATTCCTCGTTTGTAGACATAAGGGAGTTGTTTTCCATCAGAGTCGTACTTCTCCGTGTTAGATACCTATTGCTACCTCAACTTCCTGCGTTCTTTCTTCTCCACTCCGTTTCTTCACCCACCTCTTCGTCACAGCCGTTGCGAGCACCAAAATTAGAGACACCATTCCCCTTTTCTTGACAAGATTGGGAAAGGACTAACGTGATTTGGTTTGAAACCCTCGCATGTGTTTGTCCTGGCAATCGAGCCTGTGCAGTTACGGAGAAGCAGGAGGAGAGCAAATCCAATCGATATATTTATGTAAGCTGTTGCTTTGCCAGCTTCGTTTGCTCAACTGCACATTTCACTCCTCACTTTCTTCACTCTTACATTTAGAGCACACTCGCGTCGCCTTCACATTCACAGGGAAAAGCTCTATTATTGGTTGCCGATTTTTACCGTTTCGTCTTTCCTTCAACTCTGCTGTCCTTTCTCTCCCCACCCCCCCACTCAGTTCCCCCGGGGGGAGGGGTCAGCAGGCAACAGAGTGCAGTGCTACGACCCTGCCACGCTGCAGTACCTGGGCTTCTCGCCTGCTCTGAAAGCATCAGATGTGAGTGGGTGAGAAGGGAGGTCTTGATGAGTCAGGTACGTGATAGGGTGCAGTGCTACGACCCTGCCACGCTGCAGTACCTTGGCTTCTCGCCTGCTTTGAACGCATCTGACGTGAGTGATTGGGCCGGGAGGGTGCGCCTGGGTGGGTGGGTGGGAGTGGGAGTGGGGGTGGAGGGATGGGTGACAGAGAGCAGTGCTACGACCCTGCCACGCTGCAGTACCTGGGCTTCTCGCCTGCTCTCAAGGCATCTGACGTGAGTGGTTGGGTTGGGTTGGGGAGGTGGCAAAGCGCCTGGGTGGGCGGGTGGGAGTGGGAGTGTGGGTGCAAGGGTGGGCGACAGAGTGCAGTGCTACGACCCTGTCAGTTCTCGCTCGAGCCATCCTTTTAAACCCTTATATCCACTTCAGGTGAAGGAGCATGAGGCAAGGGCACGGCAGGCGCAGCAGCAGTGGGCACACAGAAGCTTCGAGAAGAGGAGGCAGTTTTCCCACATGCTTTTATCTCAATGCGACTCTCAAAGCCCCTTCTTTCTTCTGCAGGTGAATGAGCATGTGGCAAGGGCACGGCAGGCGCAGCAGCAATGGGAAGGGAGCAGCTCGCTTTGAGCAGAGGAGGCAGGTTTCCCACTCTTGCTTTTATCTCCATGCAACTCCCAGGTGAATGAGCATGTGGCAAGGGCACGGCAGGCGCAGCAGCAGTGGGCGCACAGCAGCTTCGAGCAGAGGAGGCAGTTCCTGAGGGTGCTGATGCGATACGTGGTGGAAAACCAGGACCTCATATGCAGGTATGGAGTTGCCATGCTGTGGATGCTTTATGTAACACGGTTACCAGCAGCAGTAGCAGCAGCTTTGAGCAGAGGAGGCAGTTCCTGAGGGTGCTGATGCGATATGTGGTGGAAAACCAGGACCTTATATGCAGGTATGGAGTTGCCGTGCTGTTGTTGCTTTACGTAACGTGGTTACCAGCAGTAGTAGCAGCAGCAGCTTTGAGCAGAGGAGGGACGCAGTTCCTGAGAGTGCTGATGCGATACGTGGTGGAGAATCAGGGCCTCATACGCCTGTGAGGGTTACCGTGTTGCATGTTTTCCGTTCTCACATTCTTCTTCCCCCCTCCACCCACTCCCCCACCCCAATCTCCTACCCCGCCCCTCTCCCCACCCCCACCCTCCCCTCCCCTCCCCTCTCCCCGCTCCCCCCCTTTTTTTTGCTTGAATCCAACTTCCACCTTCTCTCTTTCACTCCCCACCTCTCACTGCGCACCTCTCCTGCCTTGCACATTCAAACTTCGGTCTCTCATCCCTGCCCACCTTTTATTCTCTCCAGAGTATCCGCCCGAGAGTCGGGCAAGGTGTCGGTGGATGCTGCTGTCTCTACTGCTGAATCGGTCCTCTCTCACTGCCTTCCTCTCATCTCTCACTGCCTTCCTCTCATCTCTCACTGCCTTCCTCTCATCTCTCACTGCCTTCCTCTCATCTCTAACTGCCTTCCTCTCATCTCTCACTGCCTTCCTCTCATCTCTCACTGCCTTCCTCTCATCTCTCACTGCCTTCCTCTCATCTCTCACTGCCTTCCTCTCATCTCTCACTGCCTTCCTCTCATCTCTCACTGCCTTCCTCTCATCTCTCACTGCCTTCCTCTCATCTCTCACTGCCTTCCTCTCATCTCTCACTGCCTTCCTCTCATCTCTCACTGCCTTCCTCTCATCTCTCACTGCCTTCCTCTCATCTCTCACTGCCTTCCTCTCATCTCTCACTGCCTTCCTCTCATCTCCCACTGCTTGGTCTCTCATCGCTGCCCACCTCATTCTCTCCAGAGTATCGGCGCGAGAGTCAGGCAAGGTGCTGGTGGTGCTACTGCCGAGTCTGTTTCTCCCTGCCATTCTCTCATGTCCCACTGCTTGGTCTCTCACCATGCCCACACCCCCAGAGTATCGGCCCGAGAGTCGGGCAAGGTGCTGGTGGATGCTGGGTTTGGTGAGATTCTGACGACGTGTGAGAAGATAGCGTGGCTGCTAAATGAAGGGGAGAGGTGGCTTAAACCTGAATACAGGTCAGTCCGTGCAGTCATTGCGAGGCAACGCGGTAGTCAGTGCAGTCAATGTGTGTCAATGTGAGATTCTGACGACGTGTGAAAAGATAGTGTGGCTGCTAAGCGAAGGGGAGAAGTGGCTCAAACCTGAATACAGGTCAGTCCGTGCAGTCAATGCGAGTCAACGCAGTAGTCAATGCAGTTGTCAATGTGGGTCGGGGAAGGTGCTGGTGGATGGTGGGTTTGGGGAGAGTCTGACGACGTGTGAGAAGATGCATGGCTGCTGAGTGAAGGGGAGAGGTGGCTCAAACCTGAATACAGGTCAGTCCGTGCAGTCAATGCAGTCAATGCCAGTCAATGCATTTGTCAGTCAGTGTGAGTCAAATTGAGTCAATGCAGCCAGTGTGAGTTGATGCCAGTAAGTGTGAGTCAGCGTGAGTCAGTGCAGTCACCATGCAGTCAATGCAACGACCAATGCAAGTCAGTGCAAGTCAATGCGGTCAATGTGAGCGAATCTGAGTTGGGAAAGGTGCTGGTGGATGCTTGGCTGCGGTGAGAATCTCATCCCTCCTTACCACTTTTTTTTTTTTTTTTTTTTTTTTTTTTTTTAATGTTTTTTTACTGTTCTTCCTTTCGCCTTTTGCCCACCTGTCATCTTTCACTCCTCTCAGGTCTTTGGGTCGAACCATGATGCACAAGGTGGCCAGAGTTGAGTTTGAACCAGAAGGGGTGATCGGAGCCATAATGCCGTGGAACTACCACCCCTTCCGCTCGTTCCTCTCGCCTTACCCTTCTCTTCCCCCAACCCCCCTGAACCCCACTCCATCCTCTGTTCAGGTCCGTGGGTCGAACCATGCTGCACAAAGTCGCTAGGGTGGAGTTTGAGCCAGCAGGGGTGATCGGAGCCATAGTGCCGTGGAACTACCCCTTTCACAACGTGCTTAACCCCGTGCTGTCCGCCGTATTCGCTGGCAATGCTGCCGTTATCAAGGTGAGTGAGACAGAGTGCGGGACAGAGAGTCAAGACAGGCAGGGACAGAGGGAGAGAGGGAGAGAGGGAGAGAGGGAGAGATAGGAGCCCCTAGGTGCAGGGGTGATCGGAGCCATAGTGCCGTGGAACTACCCGTTCCTCAACGTTCTTAACCCCGTGCTGTCTGCTGTCTTTGCTGGCAATGCTGCTGTTATCAAGGTGAGACGGAGTGAGGGACAGGCAGGGACAGGGACAGAGAAATAGGGAAACAGAGGGACAGAGAGAGAGAGAGGGACAAAGAGGGGAGCCATAGTGCCATAGTGCTGTGGAACTACCCCTTTCACAATGTGCTCAACCCCGTGCTGTCTGCCGTGTTTGCTGGGAATGCTGCTGTGATCAAGGTGAGACAGAGTGAGGGACAGAGAGTCAAGACCGACAGGGACAGAGGGAGAGAGGGAGAGATAGGAGCCCCTAGGTACAGGGGTGATCGGAGCCATAGTGCCGTGGAAGTACCCCTTTCACAACGTGCCCAACCCCGTGCTGTCCGCTGTATTTGCCGGCAATGCTGCCGTGATTAAGGTGAGATGGGGGGAGGAGAGGGGGAGACAAGACTGATAGTGGGAGAGACAAGACTGGTATCAGAGCATGCGAGCTGGGGCGCGCACTACTATCTGGACATCATCCGCTCAGCGCTCGCTCAAGACTGTTGAAAAGTGCGCCACAACCCCCCAACCCCCCTCCTCCTTCCGCTCGCAGATATCAGAGCATGCGAGCTGGGGCGCGCACTACTACCTGGACATCATCCACACAGCTCTCAGGGCTGTTGAGGAGCGCTAGAGGGGCTAGGAGGAATAACTGCAGGGAAGACCACCCTTTGTTCCTTGCTGGTGCACCTTACTGCCTCTCCTCGCAGGTATCAGAGCATGCGAGCTGGGGCGCACACTACTACCTGGATATCATTCGCTCGGCGCTCAAGGCTGTTGGGGGCCCGCCTGAGTTGGTTCATGTGATCACTGGGTGAGTGAGTGCGTGCGTGCACGGGGGGGTGCGGCATGTCAGTGATAGTGTTGGAGTCAACTCAGGCAGCTCCCTCCTTTCTCAGGTGACTCCCTTCCTTCTCAGGTGACTCCCTTCCCTCCCTACAGCCCAGGAAGAGAGCTCTCAAGGCTGTTGGTGGCCCTCCAGAGCTCGTGCATGTGATCACTGGGTGAGTGTGTGAGTGCGTGTACGGGGCGGTGCGGCATGTCAGTGAAAGTGTTGGAGTCAACTCAGGCAGCTCCCTCCCTTCTCAGGTGACTCCCTTCCCTCCCTACAGCCCAAGAAGAGAGCCCCCAAGGCTGTTGGGGGCAGGCCTGAGCTGAGCTGATGAAGGCTTTGTTGCCGAAACGCGTACGCACGCACATCCCAGACGATTTTTTGTCTTACCGATTGACTTACTAAGTCTTTCTTCTACTCGCTTTCTTCTCTCCTAGTTGAAACTGGTTAGATCCATTTAGATCTAGACACGAGCGACCTCAGTTGGCTTGCTGCGATCGAATCCGCCCTTAAACAACCTCCCTACGGCCCAAGAAGAGAGCCCCCAAGGCTGTTGGGGGCAGGCCTGAGCTCGTGCATGTCATCACTGGGTGAGCTCGTGCATGTCATCACTGGGTGAGTGAGTGTGTGCATGTCATCACTGGGTGAGTGAGCTCGTGCATGTCATCACTGGGTGAGTGAGTGTGTGCATGTCATCACTGGGTGAGTGAGTGTGTGCATGTCATCACTAGGTGAGTGAGTGCATGGCATCACTGGGTGAGTGAGTGTGTGCATGTCATCACTGGGTGAGTGAGTGTGTGCATGTCATCACTGGGTGAGTGAGTGCATGGCATCACTGGGTGAGTGAGTGCGTGCATGTCATCACTGGGTGAGTGAGTGCGTGCATGTCATCACTGGGTGAGTGAGTGCGTGCATGTCATCACTGGGTGAGTGAGTGTGTGCGTGCGCGATTGTGTGCGGCATGTCAGTGACAATTGTGGTTGTGGCTTTGGAGTCGACTCAGGCAGCTCCCTCCCTACAGCCCAATACGAGAGCCCCCAAGGCTGTTGGGGGTCCGCCTGAGCTGAGCTGATCCGTGTTTGTTCGTGGGAGGTGGGTATGTGGGGAAGAGTGGGTATGTCAGTGGCAGCAGTGTGTGTTGGTGGGTGGTGGGCATTAGGGGAAGTGTGTGTGTGGCATGTCAGTGGCAGCAGTGTGTGTGGCATGTCAGTGGCAGGAGTGACTGTTGCAGTCAGGGGTGGGTGGATTAGCTTGCCTACGGTCCAACTGCTCCGCTCCTCACAGTTGAAATTCGCTGGGCTTGAAACGCAGCAAGCCTGCAAAGAGTAACGATCTATAGCACTAGTCTACTAATCTGAAAGGCGAGGGAAGTAGTGAGAAAAGGTCTACTAATCAGAAAGCCAGACACATTAGGCCTGGATGTCGCGTGTGAACGCGTTTCGGCCATCAAAGGCCTTCATCAGCAGTCAGGGGTGGCTGGACTAGCTTGCCCGTTTTTTTTTAGAATTCTCAAAAAAACCCTGCCCGCGGTCCATCTGCTCTGCTCCTCACAGGCCTCCTCTGTGCGGCATACACCCGTGCTCGTGCCTGGCCTCAACTCAAACCAGCGACTGCCTTTTCATGCAACTGGCACTATCCCCGTCGCTCTGTGCTGGCAGGTTCGACCTCACGGGGTCAGCTCTGGTGCAGTCTGGTGTGGACCGTACACCTGTGCTCACGCCTCGCCTCGCCTCGCCTCGCCTCGCCTCCAACCAACACACCTGCTTCCCCATGCTCTATTTCTTTCTCCTCCTCTCTGCTCTGTGCTGGCAGGTTTGGGCCCACAGGGTCAGCTCTGGTGCAGTCCAGTGTGGATCGGTTGATCTTTGTTGGGTCAACTGCTGTAGGCAGGAAGGTGAGTAGGAGGGTACAATACAAAGGTGAGTGTGCAAGGCTGCTATTAAACCCTTTCATTTTTTGCCTTTTTTTTTCGGCTTGAGTAACTGTCAAGAGTTCTTCCCTGCTTTGGCACACTTGCCCACAAAAGGTTTTGCAACCCTCTGCTTCTCTTCTGTCCTCTGTCTCTGCTTCTCTTCTGTCCTCTGTCTCTGCTTCTCTTCTGTCCTCTGTCTCTGCTTCTCTTCTGTCCTCTGTCTCTGCCTCTCTTCTGTCCTCTGTCTCTGCTTCTCTTCTGTCCTCTGTCTCTGCTTCTCTTCTGTCCTCTGTCTCTGCTTCTCTTCTGTCCTCTGTCTCTGCTTCTCTTCTGTCCTCTGTCTCTGCTTCTCTCCTGTCCTCTGTCTCTGCTTCTCTTCTGTCCTCTGTCTCTGCTTCTCTTCTGTCCTCTGTCTCTGCTTCTCTTCTGTCCTCTGTCTCTACTTCTCCACAGGTTCTAGAGGCCTCTGCAGTGAACCTCACGCCAACGGTGCTGGAGCTGGGAGGCAAGGACGCGTTCATCGTTTGTGACGATGCGGACTTGAAGCAGGTGAGGGCAGTTGGGGTACACCCTACTAGCAAGCTGAACGCCTCTCCCAGTGCTGGAGCTGCGAGGGAAGGACGCGCTCATAGTTTGTGACGATGCAGACCTGAAGCAGGTAAGGTACTTGGGGTTGGGGGTACATTCTACTAGCAAGCTGACCGCCTCTCCCAGTGCTGGAGCTGGCGGCCAAGGACGCGTTCATAGTGTGTGATGATGCGGACTTGAAGCAGGTAGGTTGATGTGGGGTGCGCTCCTCTCTAGTTACAAACCTCACGCCCATAGAATGCTGGAGCTGGGAGGCAAGGACGCGTTCATAGTGTGTGACGATGCGGACTTGAAGCAGGTACGGCAGTGGGCAAGACAGACCTCCAGCAGGTATTTGCAGCAGTAGGGGTGAAGCCCCCTCTATTCACAACCTCTCACGCCCACGGTGCTGGAGCTGGGAGGTAAAGACGCCTTCATCGTGTGTGACGATGCGGACTTGAAGGAGGTAGGGAGCAGTTGAAGCGAGGTGAACTAGTTACACCCTGACTTGATTGTTGAGGTCGGGAATTTGACCATCATGGTGCTGGGGCTGGGGAGGAGGCCAGGACGCATGCATCAGAGTATATGTGAGAATTCTCTCAAGACTCACATTGCCGTGATAGAGAATACTCTTTATCACGGTGCTGGGGCTGGGGAGGAGGCCAGGACGCATGCATCAGCTCTTGCCAACTTGAAGGCCTGAAGCTGTCAATGATGCGACCTTTTGAGGCGTTTGAAAAAAAGGACCTGAAGCAGGTAAGGGCGCCGTCTCCATTGGTTAGGCAGTTTCTTGCACTGCTTGAGAGATTCTGGGAAGTTACATAGTTTCTTTCCTTTTGTTGCTTAAGCAATTCTTCAAGGTTTGCAGCTATTTGGCTATGAAGCTGGATTCGGGTAAGGATGCCGCCTCCATTGGTCCTTACCATGGTTTGACTTGGTCCCACTCCCAGCATTGCGACACCTCGGAAATTCACTGCCTCTCTCCCATTCCGCTTTCCTCGGAAATTCCATTTCCTCTCTCTTTCCTGTCCCCATTGCCCGGAGGGCAGTCTGCCAGTGCAGCGCGCACAAGTGCATTGGGGTGGAGTATAATAGGAATCCCACCTTCCCCCACTCCCGCCTTTTTCCCCCATCTATTCTGTCATCTCAGGTTGTTCCCATAGCCCTGAGGGCTGTCTTTCAGTGCAGCAGCGGGCAGAACTGCGGTGGGGCGGAGCGGTTCCCTGTGAGGGAACCTGTGGGGCAGAGCGGTTCCCTGTGGGGCAGAGCGGTTCCCTGTGCTGCATGCTTAATAATTAATTCCTTCTCATCTCCCCCATAATCCCCGCTCGCAGGTCGTCCCCATCGCTCTGAGGGCTGTCTTTCAGTGCAGCGGGCAGAACTGCATTGGGGCGGAGCGGTTCTTTGTGCAGGCCGGCATCTACGACCAGTTTGTGGGGGAGGTGGTATCTGTGGCGCAGCAGATGCGACTGGTAGGTGGCATACTAGTAGCAGCAGCTGTTTTGTCGTTTTGTGGGGGAGGTTTTATCTGTGGGGTGGAGAAGCGGACGAGACTTTCATTGTGAGGGATATAGAATGGATGTGGAAATGCTGGTAGTATCCGTGATGCGCCAGTTTGTGGGGGAAGGTAGTATCTGTGGCGTAGAGATGAGACTGGCGGGTGGTGGTACCTTGGCAGCAGACGATTTTTGTGGGGAAGGTGGTATCTGTTGCATAGCGCAGGAGATGAGACTGGTAGGTGTTATTGATTCGCTGGATGATGGAAGTTTGGGGGTGTAATGGTAAGCGCCTGTCTCATTCGCACACACACAAAGCCTGACACTGATTTTCAGAATACACCTATAATGAAAGGCGCCCGTGATAAGTGCACAGGGTACCTGACATAGGCGTAACTCGTGTGTTTTTTGAGAATTCTCAAAAAACATAAGTGCACAGGGTACCTGACATAGGCGTAACTCTATAACCGACATTTGAGTCGACCCATCTTGTCAACGGTCCTCAACAATCCTCTCTTTTCCCCCCTCTCCTCCCTCCCTCTCTACCCCCCTTGTCGTCCATGTCCCAGGGTTACCCTTTGGCGGATGAACTGGAGGGAGATGAGCAAGATGGGATGAATGGAGGAAGGGAAAAGGCAACTGCTCCTGCTTCCCAGCAGGAAGGTGTGGGAGATGGAGAATTGGGAAAAGTGGCAAGAGGTGGGAATGAAGGTAGTGGGACACATCAGGAAAAGGGAGAGAGAGGAGGGAACAGTGGTGGTGCGGTTGGAGGGAGGGTGCAAGCGGGGGAGAGAGGGGGAGGGATGGGGGGAGAGTCCAGATCCACGTCAGCAGGAGCGGTTGCTGACATGGGCGCAATCTGCATGCCACATCATGTGCAGCGGCTTCAGCGATTGGTGGATGAGGCGGTGGGGCAGGGGGCACGGGTGGTGGTTGGGGGGAAGATACCTCTGGGAAGCTGTGAAGACCTCAGCTTCAGCCCCAGAGGGAGTGAGGCTGGAAGAGAGGGTTTGGGAGAAGCAGCAACAGCAGCAGCGGGAACGGCAGGAGCAGCAGGAGCAGCAGCAGCAGCGGGAACGGCAACAGCAGCAGCGGCGGCAGCAACAGCTTCTGAAGGAGCCCTCCCCTTTGGTTCTTCTTCCTCCGGCCGCCCGTCCCTAGGAGGCCAGTTCTACCCCCCCACCGTACTCGTTAATGTGCGCCCCACTATGCGCATACTGCACGAGGAAGTGTTCGGCCCTATAATGTGCATCGTAAAATTTGAAAATGACCTAGAGGTGGTGGCAGCTGCAAATGACTGCCCGTTTGGGCTCGGGTGTTCGGTGTTCTCGGGGGATAGGAGGCGGGCTGCTGCGATTGGGGCGGCAGTGCAGTGTGGGATGGTGGCGATCAATGACTTTGGATGCACCTACATGTGCCAGGTAACAAGTTCGTCATGTTTTTAGATGCGCAAAACAGGTATCCATCTGTCATGCATTGCTCCTACGTATGTGCCTGCTATCGTCTTTCAGTCAGGTACCACCACATCACACTTCCACTCTCTCTCCTCTCTCGTTTTATTTCACTCTTCTAATCCCATCACTGTGCCACCCCTCCTCTCCTGTCCATTTCGCCGTTGAACCTCCGTCTCCCTCTCTGCAAACCCAATCAGTCACTGCCATTTGGCGGAGTGAAGGAGAGTGGTTTCGGCCGGTTTGCAGGGGTGGAAGGGCTGAGAGGGTGCTGTAACGAGAAGGCTATTGTGGAGGACAGGTTTTACTCACTCATCAAGACCAACATCCCTCCGCCTCTCCAGGTACGTGCTGCACTTGCTCTCCAGCCTTTTGACCCTGCATGAGTCGAATGCTCCACACTACCCTATTGTGGGGGACAGATTCTACTCTCATCAAGACCAACATTCCTCTACCTCTCCAGGTATATGCTATGCTCTATGCTTGTTGTACAACTTCTGAGGTGGGTGCTCCAGGCTACCCTATTGTGGAGGAAAGGTTTTACTCTCTCATCAAGACCAACATCCCTCCGCCTCTCCAGGTATGTGCTGCCATTGCTCTAGCCTCTCTATCTCTCTGCTTCCCAGGATTCTTTGAAGAATCTCAATAATGGTCGTAAGCACAGTGCCCTCTAGCCCCCAACGCAGTGCCAGCAGGCTCTGGTGCGCATGTTCTTCGCCCACACCCTGCTAGCCCAGCTCTCTGTAGTATCCTGATCCGTCTCACTGTGCTGTTCCTCTTTATACTTCCCGCCCTCTCTCCCTTCACGTCCTTCCCCACACACACAGTACCCCCTGGCACCCAACGCAGTGCCAATCCAGCAGGCGCTGGTGCGCATGTTCTTCGCCCACACCCTGCTAGCCCAGCTCTCTGGTCTCTTCCAACCTTTTTCCCTGTCTTCCCTTTCCCCAAACACCCCTCAACTCTCCCTCCTCCCTCCCCCCCCTCCCGTCCTCGTCCCCCCTCTCCTCCCCCCTCCCACATGCACAGTACCCCCTGGCCCCCAATGCAGTGCCATTCCAGCAAGCGCTGGTGCGCATGTTCTTTGCCCACACCCTGCTGGCGCAGCTCTCATCTTAATCAGCCCTTTGCCTTGTCCCTCTCCCTGCTCAAACCTCCCACCCCCCCCTGCCCCTGCACAGTACCCCCTTGCACCCAACGCAGTACCATTCCAGCAGGCTCTGGTGCGCATGTTCTTCGCCCACACCCTGCTGGCGCAGCTCTCTGGACTCTTCCACCTGCTGCTGGAGCTCATGCGCTCACCCAAGAGGACAAACACACCGCAACGCCCAAGCTCGGCCGCCCATGTTGCTGGTGCTGGTGCTACGACTTCTGCTGCACGGCACAATTCAGGTGTAGGTGCGTCAGGTGGTGAGAGGCCACATAATGAGTAGAAAATGCTGTTTCGCAGGACAAGGTACATCTGTTGCACTTAGTGCTGGAAAAGCTGCAGTCAGCATCCTGTGGCCGTAACAGAAACAGTTGGGAATTTTTGTAGGCCAGAGATTGTAACAAATTCTGTTTCAGGGCCCTTGAAGTGCGGCATTCTTGGGCTTGTGTCAGGCTTTCTGAAGTCAGCAGCAAAAAAAAAAAAAATCCACATCAATTGCTGTTGACACCAAGCCATGTTGCCAAACACAAGAACTGAGCCTCATCACCAGGCCGTCTGAGATTGGGTGCAATCCTGGAGGAATGTAGCCAATTCTGGTTCTGGAGGTTGGCAGGCTGACAAGCTTGTTGACTGACTTATTTTTAATACAGTAAGTATATTCTACAGTACACCATGCCTCCTTACTTCTTCTGCAGAGAGGCAAGCAGCTGGCCAGCACCAAAAGCAGCAGCTCCGCCAAACGCACACAACAACGAAACCACAACCTGAGCGACAATCAAGCCAGTGCTGTCATCAGGAACGAAGTACACGAAAGCAGGGCCAGCGAGAAGCAGGAGGAAGGCGATGGCTTGAAGAGTGCCAGGAGTGGACCGGTCAGTGGCAGCAGAAAGGATACCAAACTCCTCAGCCTTGGAGAGAAGGCCGAGCTCCTCAATGGCTGTCAATGAGAGGCCGAAGGACTCTGCGAGTGAGAGGAGGCCTGCTTGCTCGGCCTTGGAGAGCAACCGGAGATCCTCCACGCGTGAAAGGAGGCGGATTTCTGGGTCCGAGCCTACGACCTTGCCGCGAACGCCGCCAGTCTTGTCCTCGCCGAAGAGCTCAACGACCTTGACCTGCAAGTAGGAGGGAAGGGTTAACTTGGGACGTAGAAATGAGAGGTGCTCCAAAGCTCTGGGTGAAGATTGCTGTGGTACCTTAGTTACTATCTTGACATTGCCTTTTCACTAGCACGCAACGCCGCAGGTGGAGCCGTTAGTTCTTGACTGTGGTAAATATATCTCTTTTACTCGGCGTATCAATTGCGACTCGATCTGAAAGTAGCGCGGAACGTCTAACAGTGAAAGATGTTACGGCTCTGTGTTTAATCAGGCACATTACCCGGCTGTATCTCCTGAACTGATATCAACGTCGCGACCTCTAATTGGGAAAAAGCTAATGAGCACATGGTGAGGAGAGGACTGACGAGTGGTGCCTCATCAAAGCAGGGTAAGACGGCGGGGTAACGAGAGGGAAAAACCAGGAATATGATAAAACAGTGTCAGTGAAGACGTATGGACTGTGTAGCATGCACATAAGATGCAGAAAATGCATTTCAGGGGATAAGACATGGATGAGTTCGGTTTTCTTCAATAATCCAGTGCAGAAGGCAATCAATGGAGGAGATAAAAGACCAAATGAAGGAGTCGTACATTTCTCAAGATCTTGGTCCCAGCGCGAACTGTAAGGTTTCTCCTAGCCGGAGCTGCCTCGAGCTTCGGAAGGCCAACAGCGACAGGGGCCGCGAGGAAAGAGCTGCGGAGGACGGCAGAAGCCATTGTGAGCTTGTTCTGAATAATCTCTAAGAACGTCAAGTGACTATCAGAGCGTTAGTCAGAACAAGTCTCAATGGTGTCAGTCAAGGATCAAGAATTAATCCTGAGACTATTGGAAGTGAGTGATAAGAAATTGCTATTTTCCTCCGCTGTGCCATCAAAGTCAGTTGGGGGAGACTGCTGTGCTGACCTCTCTCGATGGAAAGCTCAGGAGGTTTGGGGTTGCTTTGAGGTCTGGCATGCCTAACCACCAGTGAAACATGGCTTGGGCAGGTACGGTTAGACATCTTGAGGCTGGTAACGGCTGACAAGGCCAACGACTCGGCTTGATAGTAGGTTTGGAAATTCGCCAGGAACTAGCTAGGGGAAAATTGGTGGGAGGTATTCCGCGGGGAAGGGAGGGGGGAGCCTCATGGTCAGGAAATGTCGACGTGGCAAAAGAGAACTGGGCATAGCGTGGTTGCCGCTAGTTCTGGATTGCTGGGCATCTGCTGGAGTGGCACAGAAAGTCGCAGCGCGCCTGGGATCAGGCCCTCCGCTGCAATTGGTGTTTCCAGGATGCCGATGTGAGCCACCTTTCATCGCGTGACAAGTGTGTGAGGTGCTTGTACTATTTCGGAGGTGCTTCCTTATTAGTTTTAGAACCTGAGTGAAAGTGAAAATGAACACCACAGTAATCTAGTAGTCATGGCGGTGTCCTACAACACCAACACCACAACATCCTTGCTTGGTGCTGGTACAAACAAGGCCATTCCATCGACACCAAGGAGGATAGGATGTAAAAACAACGCAAAAGCTTTCCAAAACATGTACATCAACGATTAGCTTTAATTATTTGACTAGCTACCTCATAATGAATAACCTCTAGAGCCTAGTACCCCAAAGTATCCCGCAGAGACATTAGAGCACTGACTGAAGAGGGGGCAAACTTGCGTGCAAACAGAAAACACGGGGCCCGCTCTCCAGCAACTCTGCATGGACCAGGAAAGGCGACATCTAAAAGGCCGACATTCTCTGACACTGCAAAATGACGCCTTTGCATCCTCTCTATCAAAGCCGCCGTCACACTGCTCCCAGAATACATTAACGGGTGCTCAGCCTTGTAATGTGGCCAATCCACATGCATGACTGAGTGAGGTTCTATGCCTCTACGATCATATCCCCAGACCACTGTCTGAATGTAGCCCTCATCAGGATATTCCCCTCTGCCCCTGCCGAAGGTCACATAGTACTTCATATCTTCCACCACTAACGCTGCATGCGGGCGTGTCAGCACGAACCACTGAGAACCTTTTCTAATCTGCCATGGATGGATAACCTGGCGTGGCATGAATATCCAGAAATATCGTGGAAACCTCCACCAGCGAAGCACTGGAAGGACTGCCAGGAAGCTTCTATCCTCTGCGAAGAGGTACTCGTAAATGAAATCAAAACTCCGGATGGAAATGCAGGCCTCTGACAGCAGCACGAACCGCTGATTGACTGGATTCTCGAGCCCTGCTGCAAGAAGCCGCCTGGTAGCTTGAATCATCGACGGCATCCCCCTTACAATCCTCAATCCTGGAATCTGGGTTCCCCAGAATACACTGCCTTTCCCAACATGTGCATTCACGTCCCAGCCCTCTGTCGCTGCATGGACATAAATTGAGGCACGGTCCATGTTCCCACGGAAAAACTCCTCCCAGAGAGGCTGAAAGGGAAGAGGCCCTCGAGTGAGGAACAAGAAGGCGATTTTAGGCAGCGTCCCGTTAGGCAGGAGGTTTGATGGTGTAAATGTAGCCAAATGCTGCTTCGTCTCAATCACAGCTGCAACCGTCCTATTTTTGGCATTTCCCTTTCTCTCCAAGGCTTGAATCGACAGCTGGCTGAGGTGTGAATGGTCCTCATAATCCTCCTCCTCCTCTTCTCCACCCTCCGTACCCCCTATCTGATGGTGTTGAAGCCGTAGAGATGCCGGTAACTCGGTGATAGGAACCAGTTGATTGACAGGCGGTACGAATTGCCGCTCTGTCTCCATGGCTCGCTGAATCAGCATGCTGTCCGCTTCATCGAAGAATGTGTACGAGAACCAATAAGCGGTGAACAGCTGCCAGAACCCCACAGCCGCGAAACAGTAGAAAATTGCTCCGAAAATGAACAGGCACCTGGTGCATGGCGGTGTCGTTGCGACCAGAATACGGAGTTTTGAGATGTAAGCTCCTGAAACAGGAGATTGATGTGGAGATGACATTTGATCCGAAGACCCCGCTCGGTGTCTGCTATACCGGCCTCCTGGCCTGACTCTACCCGGACCTTGACGACTGATAAGCTTTTCGTGACCGTGCGATCTAGTCGATTGGTCTTGCTGCTGCTGCTGATGCGGATGCTGCTGATGTGGATGATGGTGACGTATATCTACGAACGAATCACGCTCGTTCCCCGTCGTTTTTCTGTCTTGATTGAATGTAGACTGCGAAGGTTCTAACTCGTACGGTTGGCGTCGGTGTGAGAAGTCGCTGTTTGCTGCAGGGACCAGAACGGCCGCTTCAATTGACTGCCCTGCCTGGGCTTCTTGATCAAATAAGGTAGTTCCTAGTCGTCGCTTCTCTGCCATCCGGGAAGTAGAGTCAGAAACGCCAATTCAGCTAGAACTCCTCCAATCACGACGCAGAAAACCGTCCCAAGGACCCCTGAGCTTCTGAATATATTAAACTTCATGGAATTGGCCGACAACCAGGCACTTGAGAGCAACTATTTTGAAGACTTCGAAGGAAAAACTAGCCTGTCCAGAGCGGAAGATACGAACTAGAGGTTGGGTTTCATGGGGGTACCACTGCCAGGCAGCCTGGGAAGGAGGGTTCTACCGTACCGTGCCGTGAAATCAAACGTATGAGAATCTTGGGCGGGTTTGAGCGAGACAGTACCCTTGATGGCAACGAACATAAAGCATTTGTTACAGACGAATTGGCGACCTCATCCATTCGTCGTCACGACACCGTAACCAGCAATGACCGTTTGAGAGGAGGGAGCCTCTCCCCTTCGCGGAAATATGCGCTCGCAGCAGGACAACCACCCCCTTTACCAAAAACAGGCTAACGAAACAAAGCAGCAATATTTCGTCTTCGTGAACCATGGCCCTTCAGTTTGGCAGGACTCTCACCCTAAAGCCCAAATTGTCCATGACCGTCCTAAACTTATCTCAGTGGATAAGTTCAGGGGATTCAGGCTTGCAGTAGTGCTTTCTCTTTCTCCTTTCCTGCTACCTGTTTACAAGAAATTAGTCATATTTTCGGTGACCTATGGAGTCGGAACCAGCCAAACGGTTCAAATCAGGTGACCCGCAGGCGCCAGCGTCCTCTGATGATTTCGAGTGTCGCCGATATTTGACACCTGAAGGTTGCCCTTTCGGCGACAGATGCCGTTATCGCCATGGTGCTGAGGGTATGGATGTCTTTGATGTTTTCCGCATGACATTGGTCTTCTTAGCCTAATAGGTGCTAAATCGTGCCTTCCTGCTTTGGATGGTGATAATACAACATTTCAGATTCAAGGGATTTGTTCCCCGACTCGAAGGCGAAGCCTTGCACGAAATTCTTCAGGTGATTTTCTGTTGAACCGATTATTATACACAACCACGCGCTTTGTGTCCTCGCTATATGAGCTTAACTTACATTGTTTCCCTGCTTCATTTTACAGCACTTCAGGCTGTCCATACGGCGAAGAATGCCATTTCCAACATTACGTCCCTGGCGGTATATCAGCGCTCGGGATTTCACCAAGACCCATGCCTCCTGGAATACCCGGATCTGGAGGCCCTTGGCCTCCTGCCGGAAGCCCTATGGGAAGAGGACCAGGTTCAGGCAGGCTCGGAGGAGTGCACGACGGAGACGCTTCCAAGATCTGCAGACGTTTTACGGCACCAGGTGGATGCCGTTTTGGTGACCGTTGTCATTTCTCGCATGTAGAGCCTGATGCGATGGCCAGATCCCGTCCTCCTGGCCCAGGTATGGGTGGTCCAGGAGGGAGAGATTTTCTGCCTGGCGACGGATACGGATCGGACTCCAGATATGGTGGTGGCCAATGGGAAGGACCTGGTGGGTATAAAGGAGGGGGTGGTTTACCCATGGAGCCGGTATCTCCTGGGAGAGGCGGAGGAGGTCCCATGGGACCCGCATCTGATTTCGGATCTACAACAAGTGCGAAGATCCCCATTGACGCTTCGCTCGTCGGTGCTATAATAGGGAAAGCCGGTTCTGTAATTAAGCAGATCCAGAGGCAGTCAGGAGCGAGGGTAGCTGTTCGGGACCATGAATCGGACACCAATCTTAGGAATGTCGAAATGGAAGGATCGCTTGAGCAGATTGAGTACGCGACAAGAATGGTTCGACAGCATTTGGCGGAGAGAGCTAATCAAGTCCCAGGAGGAGGTGGGGGTGGATTTGGCTCTGGTCCCCCGCGTGGGGGTGGTGGAGGAAGGGGACCTTCCAGCCTTGGTCCGCACAATTACAAGACAAGGATGTGCGAGAAGCTTGAGGCTGGGACCTGCACTTTCGGGTCTCGCTGCCACTTCGCTCATAACCCTGATGAGCTTCGATCTGCTCCTTCAGGAGATTAAAAAAGGTGAGATTTCATCTGGTAAGTTGTCAATTTAACTGTTATGCATCAGTAGGATGTCATGTGTCTGTTCTGGAAATTCACAATTTTGGCAACATGACGCAAGAAGGTGATTTCTGCAATTTCTCACATGCATTTGAAGAAATCAATTTTTCACAAAGGGCCTGCTAACATTACTGGGCGATGCGTTTAACACATCAAATTTGTGACTTGCAGTGACGGATCAAGGGCGTACAATATTCAATCCAGAACAATTTAACAGACGAATAGTGTTCTGGATGAATCAGCAGTTTCTTGCAATTCATGAATGACGTCACTCAAGAAAGCTTCTGCAAGAATTCAGAATAAATGGCGAAATCCAAGCCGGAGCAGAACCAGGACATCGTATTGTACTGTAACACCGTAGAAGGACAGGGAATGTACTCGAGCAGGCTTAGCAACCAACAAGCCAGCTGAACGAAAGTGTGATTTGCATTTAGGTTTTCCAACGAAGTACTTTAATAGCGGGCGGCAACATTAGGGTGTTAAATGCTGGCTAGAATTTCAAATTTGGCAGTTGAAGTGAATGGCTGGGCTTTTTAGCTTAAGCTGGTGTGGGAAGTGAACCTCAGATTACAGAGTTGCTGGGCTGACCTGTGTGAAATCAATAGTTGTACCAGTTGCACGATTCTAGGGTCTGGGCAGCTGGAAACCTGAGGGGAAGTAACTTTTTTCTTTCTCTAATCATGTGTGCTGAAATCTTTGTTTTTCCTCTTTTCGAAGCATTAGAATGTGGTTACAAAGTGTTGTAGTTGCTTGTGACCAATATGTTGCCTAACTGGTTCATTTTGTGAGAAAGATCTCCAGATTCTTTTGTGTTGACCTCATTTTCTGGCAATATTTGTCAAACCGGTACTACCTTCTCACGGTATTTGTCTGTAAGCATGCATGGCTTCTGCGCTGTTTGGTGGGAAGGTGGTATGCATAGTTCCTGGCTCTTACATGGACGGAAGTCTTATCTAGCCCAATGAACGAATTGACAGGAGGAGAACCAGGGGTGGGATGCACTTGCTTGCATTGCTCTTGATGCCACGGCCTAGAAAACATGCAGAGTTGCACCAGTCACATCAGGATAAAGAGGTGCATGCATGCAGGATCCACCACCATCAGCATACTACACACCACGTGACCATGCCCTGCCCAGCAAGTTACGGTACATGCAGCAACAGTCATCCCCTCCCCAGACCAGCTACCACACATGCAGCTAGATCCCACACTAGCACAGACACCTCCTGCTTCTCTCCTTCTGTGTCGTTCCCTGTTCCTGCTGGTTCAATACACTTGGCACCTGCACAGCATATCTGCAGGATAAAACTTCGTGCTGTCTGAGCTTAAGGCCAGTGACCATATTCTTTCCACCAGATCCTATATACCCTTGTTAGGTTTAGCTCTGCGACAAAAATTATCTAAAATCGAAATTAATTTGAAAGGGTTATTAGACTGTAACAAGGACATCATCAAACTGCAGCCTGGATGGATGTCATAACTTGAAGCTAGGCACTTGTGTCTCAGTGCACCAGGCCTCGCGAAGCTGTACTCACAGCCCCACTCCTCACAGCCGCAATAGCTTAATCCACATGCACATGCATGTTGATCAGCCTTTCGAACAACCCAGGCCCTCCCAAGATTACTGTATCCATTCCCTTCACCCATATCTTCAATTCAATTGAACATCACTTCTCATGCTACATCATCCACGCAACTTCCGAACTGGAGGTGACATTGTCGCCAGTAGTGGGCATGCACTAGACACATCCTTCAAGCCAGTAGCCATTCACACTAGTCCTCCAACCGTCTGCGCGAGTTGCGGAGTTGGCAGGACCTCTTGTTCTTCCAACTTCCTACTTTGAACACTCGCTTTCCTGCTTTCAACTTCCAGCTTTCAGCCGCAGCTTCATCCTGCGTCACCGGGCCTATCCTACCATTCTCCAGCTTCACCCAGTTTCATCTCCAGCTTCACCCTGTTTCATCTCCAGGTTCACCAGTTTCATCTCCAGCTTCAGCCAGTTTCATCTCCAGCTTCACCCAGTCTCATCTCCAGCTTCACCCAGATTTCCCCCCACAGCACTGAATCAGCTGCAGGGTTGGTTCGAGTTAACCAACACGTTGGGTGATTCCACCCCACTGCCCTCTAACACCCATATAATCTGCCTCTTCCTAAGATTAAGTAAGAAGAAACCTTCATCACGGCTAATCTCTCGCAAGCAACCCACGCGCGAAGCCTCTCTTCGAAACCTTCAGCTCCACCTGATTCCGCTTCCACCCGCTGTCCATCTGAGGCTCCTCCCTCGGTTTGTTTGAGATTAGTTTTGAGAATTCTCAAAACTAATCTCGTACAAATGCAGCAGGTCGAATGAACCACTACCATCCACGCCCACGGCCTCTTCTACTCAATTTTTTAGGCGCCTCAAAGAAAAATTTGTGAGGCGCCTCAAGAATGCAGCAGGTCGAATCAACCACTACCATCCACGCCCACGGCCTCTTCTATTCAGTTACAAGATGACGCACCCACACCCGCTCGCCTCTTTCTTTGGCTCCACCTGAATCTTCTTCCATCCGCTGTCCATTTGAGGCTCCTCCCTCGGCCCATGCCGCGAAGCTACCCCATCCTGTGAGCTGTCGTTCCCCGCTCCACCCCCCCCTCCTCCTCCCCCTGTCGGCCCAGAGCCAGGTGGCGCCGCGCCATTCGTCGGCTTCCCCCCCGGGCCAAGAGGTGGCTTGCCGCTGGCGTCCGGTCCGGGAACAGGCACGATCATATCGTCAACCCTGGAGAAGGGGAGTAGAGAAAGTAGGGTGGGTGGGTGGGAATGGGGAGTGTTGGTGGTGGGAGAATAGACAAAACTTGCCGCTGGCGTCCAGTCCGGGAACAGGCACGATCATATCATCGACCCTGGAACAAGAAAAAGAGAAAAGGAGGGAGACGGAGAGAAGACGAGGGAGGTGGAGAGCAGGGTGGGGGGGTGGGGGATACAAGGCGGGACGGGACGGGGGTTGAGGGGGTTGGGAGTTGTTGGTGGGGGGAAGTGTTTTTTTGGGCACCTGCATTACAAGTTTCGAGCAGCACTTTTTGAGGCGCCTAGAAAAGAAGAAGAAGAAGAAGAAGAAGAAGAAGAAGCAACAATCACGTCAAAGTCCGGCCGCTTAAGCCCCAGAGTCGTTTCCCCCATGCTCGTACCCCAAGCCACTGGCCACCCCCACCTTCTTCTCTTCCCAGCCTCTCCACTCCCCCACACCCCAGCCAACTCACTTGTTGCGGCTCCTCCCGTCCCCGATTCTCTCCAGATAAGCCACAATTTCATCAAAGTCGGGCCTCTTTTCTGGGTCCCTGTCCCAGCAGCGCGTGACGAGCTTCGTGATCTGACTGGGGCAGTCCTTGGTGGGAGGCCGGAGGTTCTGTTGGGGAGAGGGGGGAGAGGAAGAGGGAAGTTGACGTGTTAATCAACTCAGCAACCCAACAGTCCCAGCAGCGCGCGACGAGCTTCGTGATCTGACTGGGGCAGTCCTTGGTGGGAGGCCGGAGGTTCTGTGTGGGGAGGAAGCAGTGGGGCGTGATGGGAGTTGGAGGGGTACATGGGGTTGGTCGAGGTGGGTGGACATATGAACTCTCAGCAACCCAACAGCCCCAGCAGCGCGTGACGAGCTTCGTGATCTGGCTGGGGCAGTCCTTTGTTGGGGGTCGGAGGTTCTGTTGGGGAGATGAGAGGGGGGAATGGGGGAGAGCGGAATGTGGGGGAAAGGTTAGGGAGGGGTTTCGAGCTCAGGAGGCAACAGTCCCAGCAGCGCGTGATGAGCTTCGTGATCTGACTGGGGCAGTCCTTTGTGGGAGGGCGGAGGTTCTGTTGGAAGGAAAGCAGAGAAACGTTGGGAGGATTGGGAGGGTGTGGGTGGGAGGTGGGGGGGGGAGGAAGGGAGGGGAGCAGAGGGGAGAAAGGAGCTTAACTTGGCTGGAAATGTGACAGTCCTTTGTTGGGGGAACGGAGGTTCTGTGGGGAGCGAGAAGGGGAGGAGGACGGGAAGATGGGGAAGTGTGGGTGGCTCAGACAGCACACATTCACACACACACACACATGCGCGCACGCGCACGCCACACACTTACACCCCACACTTACACCACACACACACAAGAACATTCACACAACCACACACCATATGTCCAAACCAAATCACGTCCGCAACAATGGCGTGTGCGAGTTGCACAAAGGAGAGCCCTTCAAAGGGCCATTGGGCCGTGCAGATCTCCCACAGCAGCAAGTTGCTATACAACCAGAACACCCAAGGTCTCACACATTCACACCCGCACCGCACACACACACCCGCAAGCCAACTCACGTCTGCGACGATGGCGTGTGCGAGTTGCACAAAGGAGAGCCCTTCAAAGGGCCATTGGGCCGTGCAGATCTCCCACAGCACGATGCCATAGCTGTACACGTCGACTTTACGAGTGTAGGGCTGGTGGTCGATCATCTATTCGACGGGGTGGTGTGGTGGTGGTGAACAGGTTGCAGGAAAAGTTAAGGGAATTTAGACGGAGAATCTCAGCACCCAGAGCACGATGCCGTAGCAGGACACCCATCCACCTTGCGCGTGTACGGCTTGTGGTCGATCATCGGACGTGGGAACGGGGAAAGGGATGGGGGATTCATGTGCATTAGCAAACCAGGTGTGAAATGTGGATCTCCCATTCCTCAAGGGCCCTTCTATCTCCTCTCCCACAGCACGATGCCGTAGCGGGACACGTCCACCTTGCGCGTGTACGGTTTATGGTTGATTATCCGACGTGGGGAGAGGGGCGCGGGTGCAAAGGGAGTAGAAGATTTAGGGTGTCACATCACAGTAACAGTCCTCTCAGCTCCCACAGCACGATGCCGTAGCGGTACACGTCCACCTTGCGCGTGTACGGCTGGTAGTCGATCAACTGGGGTAGGGAGGTTGAACAGGGATTGGGAGTGCATGTGCGTGCATTTCGAGATCAGATGTGAAACACGAATTTCTCGCTTCTTAAAGGGTTGAACCTTGGCCCTCTCGTCTGCAAGGGGTGTGGTGTGTGTGTGTGTGTGTGTGTGTGTGTGTGTGTGTGTGTGTGTGTGTGTGTGTGTGTGTGTGTGTGTGTGTGTGTGTGTGTGCGTGTGTGTGTGTGTGTGTGTGTGTGTGTGTGTGTGCGTGTGTGTGTGTGTGTGTGTGTGTGTGTGTGTGTGTGTGTGTGTGTGTGTGTGTGTGTGTCAGGGGGGTGTGACCACCCAGGAGGGGGGGGAATGGCGTGGGGGTTGTGGGGACAGACATGATCGCCTGTCTGTAGGGCTCCCCTATCCCTTTCGCCCTACAGACAGGCGAGGGAGGTAGGTATCACCCCCTCCACCCCTCCCACTGCCTCACCTCTGGCGCCATCCATCTGATGGTGCCCGTCTCAGCCGTCATGTTGCCCGGCTCCTGAGCCTCTGTCCTTGCCAGCCCGAAATCCGCCACCTTGACCAGCCCAGACGAGTTCAGCAGCAAATTGGCTGACTTGAGATCCCTGTGAGGCGTGGGGGCAAGAGGGAGAGGAGGAGTGGAGGAGGGAGGGGAAGGAGTTTCAATCACCAGAATCCGCCACCTTAACCAGCCCAGACGAGTTCAGCAGCAGATTCGCTGACTAGAGATCCATGTGGGGAGAGGGGGGAAGGGATGAGGGGAGAGGGAAGAGGGGTCAGTCACGGCTTCTGTGCCTCTGAGAGGATTTTTGAGGCGCCTAAAAATTTGCCTCTGTCCTCGCCAGGCCAAAGTCTGCCACCTTCACCAGCCCAGATGAGATCAGCTGCAGATTCGCTGACTAGAGATCCCTGTTCGGTGGTGGGGGCACGAGGGAGAGAGTGGGGAGGGGGGAAAAGGAGTTTCAATCACCAAAGCCCGCCACCTTCACGAAACCGGACGATTTCAGCAGCAGATTCGCGGATCTGAGATCCATGTGTGAGCGTATGGGGGAAGGGATGGCGGAAGAGGGGAGCGGGAGGATGGTCAGTCAATAACCAGAATCCGCCACCTTCACGAGCTGTGCATGCTACAGCTACTTCTAGCGGATTCAGTAATTTCGGTCCAGTATTCCATGCCTTGTTCTGAGACGACTCAAAGCCACGTCCAACGAATTCTGTTGAGCGCAGGCCTACCTATGTATTCATAGGTAAATACTATGAGCGCAGGCCTACCTATGTATTCATAGGTAAATACTATGAGCGCAGGCCTACCTATGTATTCATAGGTAAATACTATGAGCGCAGGCCTACCTATGTATTCATAGGTAAATACTATGAGCGCAGGCCTACCTATGTATTCATAGGTAAATACTATGAGCGCAGGCCTACCTATGTATTCATAGGTAAATACTATGAGCGCAGGCCTACCTATGTATTCATAGGTAAATACTATGAGCGCAGGCCTACCTATGTATTCATAGGTAAATACTATGAGCGCAGGCCTACCTATGTATTCATAGGTAAATACTATGAGCGCAGGCCTACCTATGTATTCATAGGTAAATACTATGAGCGCAGGCCTACCTATGTATTCATAGGTAAATACTATGAGCGTAGGCCTACCTATGTATGATGTTGTTGGAGTGTAAATACTGCATGCCCTGCGCCACGTCCAGAGCCATGGCCGCAATCTGCTTGAGCGACAGGCAGCGCTTGCCCAGGCGGGAGAGGGAGGGAATCGTGGGAGTAACACCACGCATCCACTTGTGGATGGTACTACAGCAACGCACCTGTGGATGATGTTGTTGGAGTGTAAATACTGCATGCCTCTCGCCACGTCCAGAGCCATGGCGGCGATCTGCTTGAGCGACAGGCGGCGCTTGCCCAGGCGGGAGAGGGAGGGAATCGTGGGAGTAACAGCACGCATTCACTTGTGGATGGTACTACAGCAACGCACCTGTGGATGATGTTGTTGGAGTGCAGGTACTGCATGCCTCGCGCCACGTCCAGAGCCATGGCCGCTATCTGCTTGAGCGACAGGCGGCGCTTGCCCAGACGCGAAAGGAAGCCCTTGACTGTGCCGCCGTCTAGGAACTCTGTGACTATGGCCCACTTGGGCGGGTTGATGTACGCCCCTAGGAACTGGGGGCGAAAAGGGGGGGTGAAGTTGGGGTCTTGGGTTGTGTGTGAGGAGAAAGCACAGGGAAGGAAGCCCTTGACTGTGCCTCCGTCTAGGAACTCCGCGACTATGGCCCACTTGGGGGGGTTGATGTACGCCCCTAGGAACTGGTACGAAGGGGTGGCGGAGAATTGTGACAGCGGGTTGGAGTGGGGGGGGGGGGAGAGAGGGGGGGAAGGGCGTGGGGGGAGAAGGAGGGGGGGAAGGGGCCAGTGAGGTGACGAGGGATGGAGCCGTGAGGGAGAAAGGGCGCGGGAGGAAGCCCTTGACTGTGCCTCCGTCTAGGAAACTCCGTGACTATGGCCCACTTGGGGGGGTTGATCTACGCCCCTAGGAACGGGGGGTGGGGGAGAGGGGAGATGGGGAAGAGAGGGTGAGAGGGAGGGAGGGAGGGAGGGAGGGAGGGAGGGAGGGAGGGAGGGAGGGAGGGAGGGAGGGAGGGAGGGAGGGAGGGAGGGAGGGAGGGAGGGAGGGAGGGAGGAGGGGGGTGGGGGGTGGGTGAAGGGTAAGGAATCAACAGTCAAGGAACTCTGTCGCCTAAGAATTGGCATTGCGGAGGGAGGGGGGATGGGACGAGCGAGCGAGAAGAGGGGGGGGGGGGGGGATTCGGAGGGGAAGAGGAGAGGAAGGGTGGGGGCCGGGGGCGGGCGCGGACGTTGAAGGAAATGGGGAGGGTGGGATGGGGAGGGGGATGTGAGAAGGGAAGGGCGGGTGAGGTGACGAGGGATCGAAGCGTCAAGGAGGTCGAACAGAAAGACATTGACAGTGTTGCCCAACCTTGATTGTCTAGACGTGGCCTGGCGTTAGCGACGCGTAAAATATTTTTTCACTTCCCACTTAGTCCTTAACACTATTTAATTATTTCGTGTGCACTGGCTACTTGCTATTTCATGTTTTAGAGACTTTATAAACTTCATGTGCTAACGCGTTGCGTCCGTGAGTGAAGAAGAGGCGAAACGAGAGCTGGTAACAAAGAAGAGTCGGCCGTTTGTTCTCGCGGCGCGAAGACGAATCCCATCGGTGACAGCTTCGAACCTGGACTCCTGGTCCCTTCTCGTCATACCTGAAGGTTCGGAGATCACAAGTCCGTACTTGGACGACGATTGGGTGGTTGATTTTTGCCACACCGACACCTCTTGACTGGAACACTCTCTTCGCGTCCAGTGGCTTTCGAGTCGACTCGTTGGTACCGTAACTTACGCTCTGAACTCTCCATTCGCACACTTCTGAAAACACGAAGGAATGAGATCACGCCTGATCACCCCTGGACAACTCTTTGTTCGAACCTGGAAGACGGGGTTTCGTACCTGGACGACGTTGGGGTGGTTGAGTTTATGCCTCACGGACACCTCTTGCCGGAACCCCCGCATCGCGTCCAGTGGCAATTGAGTCGTACTTACACCCTCGTAACCCGTTTTTTTAACCCGCCGTGCGTACACTTCCAAAGAACCGGAGAATCTGTACGTACCTGAACGACGTTGGGGTGGTTGAGTTTATGCCACACGGACACCTCTTGCCGGAACCCCCGCTTCGCGCGATTCAACTCATCCTCGCTTGAAGCTTCAGGGAAGAGCAAAAACTTTATCGCGACGCGCGAGCCTCTGTACGTTCCCGAATGCACCACGCCGAACGATCCCGTGGCTATCAACTCGCCCAACTCGACCTGAAGCGATGAGGGGAAGCGAGGTGGGCGAGAAAAGTGCGAGGGGAAATTAAGATTTAAACACACTGGAAGAGCAGGAACCTGATCGCTGCGCGCGTGACCTGATACGTTTTTGAATGCACCGCGCCGAACGATCCTGTGGTTTAGCCCAACTCACTCGACTTGAAAGCGAGGGAGAAGGTGGGCAGGTGTTCGGACGGGAGGTGGGAGGAGAGACGGTTGAATCACATGGCCGGAGCATACCAGAAGAGCAGGATATCGATTGCCACGCGCGCGTCCTGATACGTACTTTAGTGAACACTCCAGAGAATCCTGTTTGCGATCAGCTCGCCGAACTCTCACGCGCCGAACTCTCGCGACATCTGATGCCTCTCGCAATGTCCCAATTTCCCCAAACTCCGCGGGTTTCTGGGATAAGGCCGATCGCATACCTCGGAGAAATCTATCGCCCACGCTGTTGACCCCGGCGCGTCCCCTCCACTGGGCGAACCCTCGGTGCCGCGACCGCCGCTACCGGCCCCGGATGATTGCTGGCTGCCATGGCTGCCTTTGCTGTTCTCCTCCTCGCCGTTTCTGTTCCGATCTCGCCGCGGATTGCGGGTTCCTCTAGCGGAGCCGTACACACCGCCAGTCATTGGCGTTGTCTCTGCAGGTGGTGGATGGGGGAATGCAATGAAATAATTACAGGGGCAATACAAGAAATTAATGTTATACATTCGGCGACTTTTAGGCAATTTCACTGTCTTAAAACGGGTTGTTGACTGCTGGGGGAAGGACGACCTAACGGGGAGTACGGGAAAACCATAGCAATGCATGGCATGAGAAGCGACAAGAAAGCCGAAGAGGAACCGAAAAACGAGTCTGAAGACGTGAAAAAACGGTCGGTAACCAAACTGAAAGTACACCAAATGTAACTGGAAACTCGGTGGGAAACAATACCTGAAGTGTAACCAAGTTTTAGCTTGATTGGAAAATTGATCCACTCAGACGTTCACGTCACACAAGCAGTGACTTTCTGGTAACCCTAAAATGCACGAAGGGTGATCCTGAGCTGCGGACCGGAAACGCAAAAGCTGGTGATGCTAACTCAACGACAAAAGTACTAGAGCTCGCATTTCTAGTCGTCTCGAAGATAATGTGCAAAGGTTTTCTTGGAAGTACAGGTCTTCGCGACTGGTAGTCTGCTACCTTGTACTATGAAAAACGCCTCTGCGTTGCGAACTAACTACGACCTTCTACGGTGACAGAAAGGCGACGATTGACGTCGAATTCGTCGTCTAAAGGACGCCATCAATGTTTTAGAATGTTCCTAATTGCAGCAGCGATCATGCAAGCGAGAACGCTGAGAGGATGTTTCGTCAGAAAAATGGGACGACGAGAATAGCAAACCGAGACGGTACGAGGAGCTGGGTCAGGAGGAGCTGTGCGAAGGTGGAAATGCGAAAGCCTCGCAAGTACTCTACATGGTATATCTGAATTTAAAGATGAATGGTGCGAGCGAGGATGGTGCATAGAGATGAAGTCAACTTGCTGATCACGAGCGAGCATAATCAATGCAGGCGCTGCTAGTTGACGCAGTGCGCGAGGGAGAGAGGGTGAGGTGAGGAGGAAGGAGAAGAAGAGATGCCAGCGCAAGCTTGAATGAATGGTGCTACTGCGTCTGCCATAGAAAAACTGTTACTGGGGGATGGTGCTTCGCTGGCAGAAGTACAGTGCATATAAGTCATGAGCGCGTGCGGTGGAAAATGGCTACACACACATGTTCCACAGATCTTGCGAACCGTGCACTCGAGTTTGATGAAAAGAGTTCAAAAATGATATAAGTACCAACACAAGAAGAGTCGCTCATGAGTACAGTACAGAACAGAGCTTTGTTGAAGTCGTGGTGATTCGGTTTGGTGGTTGGTGAACAAATCAAATTGGGAAAATATACGGGAAGTCACAACTAGAGCCGTTTTATCGCGTTGGATTACGGGCTATCACAAACAGTCACAGTACAGTATATCTCTATCACGGATGGTCACACCTGGCCTCTAGCTATCACGTTTGGTCACTCGATGAAACGATAATAATCAATTTGAAACCACATAAGAAAACTGTAGAGATTTTGGGAATCCCAATCTCGATTCCTTGATCCTCGTGCATGATTCTAGCTTGACATTTAGGGGAATGAAGAAGAATATAAACCCCTATATGATGGCACGTTCTTCGGGAGGTATCAACCCTAAACACCATGCGACAAGGTGTTCAGGGTTGATGCATCCCGAATTAGGGTGTGTTTCTATCCCGTGTCAGACATCAAGTCATGCGGCCTTAGGGCGTGTCCAGTGCGTACGTTTACAGCTCACCTCGCGCTACAGCTACCACTTTTTTCGAATTATAACCACATTTTTACATCTTTTTTTTACACGAACACCTATAATACGTAAACCAGTAAAAGCCCACACGTACGCCGAATCGTAAAGATGGCGCAAAAGCACGTAACAAACCTCAGAATCAGACTTGCTCGCGTCCACGTTGCTACAGTGACGGTTTAACGAATTAAAAGGCCGAATTTCGTGAGAGTCCAGGGTTCTTGCGAAACTGAATCTTGCGAATATTCTTCGGAATCTAAATGCCGCCCTTCTGGTTACTAAGTTGTGCTGTCGCCACTATCGCGCAACATGATGTTTGGCTTGTGCTGGGGGGCGAATTGTGTCTTTCCGCACATTTTTGGACGCGAAACCAGAAGGGTACACCTGGCGGTACTGTTTCTGTGAATGATTCAAAATACGTTAAAATCAAGTAAAAATCCCAAAGTGTACGCGCTGGACACGCCCTTAGTCTCCCATTTGTCTCTTCCGAACTTCCAATCGCCCCAAAAGCGAGCCACTTCGGGTCTTCCGAACCTCCGTTTTGTGTCAAACCTGATGCCTGACACGGGATAGTGTCAAAATCCCAACCACTAGACCATTGGGATATAAGGGCTTGTTTGTGTAGCGGATCAGTGCGCCCATAACCTCCCAGGCCAACGTGCCTGTAACCCTTCCCTAGGATCAATCGGGGATCACCACTGGACCTCTGACAAATAGAAACGCACCCTTAAATCCAATCCGAATGGGTTTTAGTTTTTTTTTGTCTCGCGAAGAGAAAACCCCTCGAGTTTTACCGGTCTAAAAGTGATATTCTTGGAGTCATTGGGCATCATTGGAACAGTGGACAATCAGATAGTAACAGAATTTGCATATGTTTTTAACGAATTACCGAAAGTTGTCGCAAAACTATTTTGTAATACCACAAACAAAACGGCGCTCGCGAGAAAACTTTCTTTGAATCCGTACAGTGACTTGAATAGTTTCAGTTTTCTATCGAACGTTTCAACGAGTGACCAAACGTGATAGCTTCTCGGTGCGAAGTGTGACCATCCGTGATAGCACTGTGATCACCCGCGATAGAAATCTACTATACTATGAGTGTTTGTGATACCCCTATGATCAAACGTGATAAACCAGGCTTAAAGGTAACTTCCTATATAATTTCCCAATTCAATTCGGCCTCGAAGCTTTTTAGTTCTCTCTTTTCACAAAGGGCAACACAACTGGGAAAACAAATATGCGTGTGGCCTTTGGTTTCAAAATCGGGCCAAGATTCAAAGTTGGAGGCGACGAGGACTTCATATCGGCAGCCTAGCCCTTCATGGATTGGGTGAAAGAGATATGTGGGTGTTCCAGAAGGCTTTTGCTGAGGTGTGTGACACGGAGTGGTTGGTTAGAGCTCCGCGGCCTCGAACTCGAGGACACCCAGGCTAACCAAGTACTGCACTTAGTGTTTCATGGTGCTCACAAACAAACAGCCCATAGATGGATGCAAACCCGAAAGTCAAATTTGGCTCTTTCAACACGCCCTCCCCAAGTCGAGTCTCCCTGCTTGTCAAACCTGAGGGTGCAGGCTCGGGACGAACTTTAAGGGGCACGCCTGGACCACAGATTTCACCACGCCTGTGGCCGTCCAACCGTGAATCTTACCGAGCCAGGACGCTTCTCATCTAAGCCAAAACACACGCGACGCGGCATGGAAAGAGAAATACAGCGTACAATGTTCAAAGTACACCTGATGCTTTCGTGAAGTCCCACTATTTCGGGATATTCGCTCCACTCACAACAGCCCCATTCAAAAGGCTTGAAGGGTTTGTGCCTGTTCAATTCTGCATGCACTCTACGACCTTTTTGCACCATTCACAAACTTACACACCGGAGACCTTATTGTGCAGAGCATGTGTGACCATAATGAGTAAGAAGCTGTCTCCTTAGGGCGTGTCGGAAGTGAATTCCGACGTTTGCCGACGAAATTGTCTCGACGTTCCTCGACGAAACTCGACGACATCCGTTTTCAGCTTTGTGCACTTCAGACACCCACATGACAAAATAGCCCACACGTGCCATAGGAACACTGTTATAAGTTGCCCATGAAAATCCGACGTGGAATTAAGAGAATCATTAATGCAACTCAACTCTTTATAATCTCGCGAATTTCGCTTAGCATAGATTGTTGCGGGTAACACCGGATATTCTACTGTCACATTGTCAGCGAAATATCACTAGCACGTGACGCTCTCTTCTTAGTTCTTAGTAACGTGTTTGCTTGCTAGCAACTATGCAGACATGGCGTGTCGAAGAACTGTTTTTGAAGCACTCACTGACTACAGTGACTCGAACAGCTGCCCGGTATCACTGTTCGACATCCCTCGACATGTGTACGAACGTCGAGTTTCGTCGAGGGATGTCAGGCTGCACTTCAGACACCAATACGCGTGGGTCGCACGGATGAGTTTCGTCGACGAAAATTGACGAAACTCGACGTTTGCACTTCAGACACGCCCTTATTGTTGTACTCTCTATGGCGGCGTCCCCAAAATCTTAATCCGTTGTAGCCAGGGAAAGACGGCAACGGAGAACCGTTTCAGGGCAGGGAATGTGAGGGCGAGAAGAGACAGTATTGTGGCTGGAATTAGTGCAACAAACACCCTACCGGTGATCTGTGGCGCCTTCTCGGAGTGGCTTAGTCGGAGTTTCTCAATCTGGACAGGCTCGGGGAGTAGACCGGCACGGCAGGGATCGAGTTGAGGTGAGAAGAGTTCGATGTTTCCACCTCAAGCAACGGACTTGTGTCACGACTGGAACCGAGGCTGTAGTTCCACGCAGTGCAACGTCGAGCTTCGTCGACGAAATTGGAATCCGGGACGTCCGAAGTCACTCCAGACACGCCCTAATATAACCAATGAGATCAAAATTCACGTGAAAAACCCGCATGAACCTACTTTCTCCGCAGTTTAGCACACATCTACAGTTGGCGCTATGTCAGAATGTTATCTTATGCTCTAGCCTGTAGTGGGATGCTCTATAGCGAGTACAACCCTTCTAGGGTTTGCTATTTGTATCCTCATTATTGCTAGTGCAATCCTCTTCTTTCTTCTAAACTTTCACATGGTATCAGAGCAGGTCGATCCCCTTGGATCGATCCTGTGGGTGGGTTACCACCTTCTCGCTTCCGCTGCAACTACCTTTCACTACTCTCTGAGCCGCACGCCCCCTGGCGTGCGGCACTTTTTCTTCCCGCCGTGCGCCCCGAGGCGCGCGGCGGTTTTCTGCCCGCCGTG